AACTCCACATTACGAATAATAATAGCGTTCCTGTAGAAATGGTCCCCTTTGTATCTTCAAGCATATGGTGGGTTTTTAGGGATCAAGCGCACGAAGAAAAGACCGCCTCGTGGTTAAAATCTTTTACGGTTCGACATTTCATTCACTGTGATAAACACAGCCTGTTGTTGGTAGTTTTGATGGTTGTGGTATACTGGATACAAACAAATTTTCTCATTATTCTCAAATAACGTCGACAAGCAGAACTTTATGTTGTTTTCTCCATTTTTTCCTTTTCTAAATGTAGTTCAAACTGGACACAAAAAACTTTATTCCCCTTGGCGGAGGCCTATTTATAGCCTCCAGATGGACAAAGTTAAAAACTTTGTCAATTTTATGAGAAAATTTTTAGGTCACCATTTAGGCGAGATTTATTTGGGTAATAAAACACGAAAAGTGAAGAATTTAACAATTTTCCCATTTACTTAAAATGGAACTGCCACCGTGGGATATCACGCAAAGCCATGTCAAAGTGCAGTGAATACAATGCCTCTTTTCACTTCCGTCCCCCGCGGTTTCGACCGTAACATCAAAGTGATTGGGTAGAGGATGCTTAAGTTGTCCAATTTCAAGGAGAGTAGGTGGGCGGACCAGAGTTTGCTTCCCCCACCTCAATGCCACGTTGACACCCATCCAACCACAAAGAAATTGTGGTGTAAACTGACTACCACCTGTCACATGACCAGTCTATTCAAACAAGCGTCTGTTACAAAGGCAACACTTTCCAGACACTGTGGAGGTTCTTTAGAGTTACCGGTCAACTAGCAGTTCCTCGGGCTGGGTGGACGACGAATGCAATCTCGTCCCGTCTAACGCGTTATTCTGCCTTTTCTGCCGCATTATGAAGGCTTCCAGGCACTGGATGCATCAAAAGCTACATTTAAACACACCTAGCAGTTTAAAAAACAACGCAAGTATTTCATTTTATGAGGATAAATTGAGCCATGAAGCTTAACCTTGTTCATTCATTCCGAATTTAGACTGGAAAGTTAAAACAAGCGGCAGAAACGAGGTTAGTGACCTTGAAAAATCGTCTGAAAATAAACACCGCCTTATTTGCAACACACAACTGGTGAATCCAGCCGCCTTTGGACGTGACATTTGTCAGCACAAAATCCGCAAATCCGATCTGAAGCTTCGGTGTTGGTCTCATATTACAAATATTTGGAGTGAAAAAGCCCTATATTTTAGCCAATAAGTCTATTATCAAAGGATCTGTTGCTCGCTCCAAAAAAGGTTAAGCCGAAGTGAGAAATGAGATTCACCCTACTAGTTAAATTTCCTGGGTGGTTTGGGGACAATATTTAACAAGCCAATCGTTCGGCTTTTTTCGCCACCACATTGTAAATGATGAAGAAGGCAGGAGAATGCGGATTGCGCAGCAGCAAAAATGCCGCTTCCACTTGGAGAGCAGATGTCTGAAGCCTGCGCGCGAGCAACCGGCACGTAGAGGTCATTTACTTCCCCACCTTAAAGTTTTTTAACCATTCAAACAATGTCAACCCAATAAGAAATTAAACATTACCACAAGTATCTTCAGTTAAATGAGGAACAAGTAGACTACCCATCGGTGAGTTACTCTGCACTACTTGCCGAAAGAACACTATCCCCCACCCAAAAAAAAGACTTCCCCAACTTTCTTTCAGGCCGTATTAAATTGTTAAAGAATCTAAACTCCTGATCTAGCGCAAAAAGTGACACGCACTTCAAATTAACCTCTGAGATTGACTTTAGCTCCTTTGAAAACCATAGCGGTGGTGAGGGGCCAGTGGTCTCCTCGACAAACAACCAATGAGTGCCAAGTGCGGCTTGATTGGACAAAAAGCGAAGCCAATGGGAGGACGGCAATTCCAAGGAGAAATGTGTATAAACATTTAAGGTTCCATGCGCTTGAGCTATGCCTGACAAAACGCACACATCACATTTGAGGTGTATACTCTGCCAGAAATAAATTCGCAGCTTACTTTTTGAACCACACAGTGACACCTTTTTCGTGCTCAATTGTACGTAAGTTGTACTTGCATAACCACTAAATGCAGCTGACAAATAAGGCGGGCTTAGTGAGTGGCAAGTTTAACATGCCTCACTAGCAGTCAAATTAGAAGCAGGAAATGAATGAATGTGGTAAATTATTAATGAGGATAAATTAATTTCTTTGATATATAGGATTGGGGCCGATTAGTATTTTAGTCGTGCATACCTTACCTGTTTTTTATATTCTCATTATTTTCATTTTTCGATGCTATTAAAATTACCTTCAGGTAGTTGTCATGGCTGATTCCAAGTGATAAACAGAGACTTGTCGTAACTTTGATAGCACGATGTGGAGATTAAAGTGGAAACATAATAGGCAAAATGCCACGAAAGGTCTGATCTATATGCGTTATGTAAATGCAGATATGTGTGTCGTGGCGGGTGTGTCGCCACCTTCGGATGCGAAGTTTTTTTGAAAGGAGTACGTGCGATGTTATTTCAAATGTCAGCAAATTCAGTTACCTGTCTCCAGGATGAATTTTCACTCAGGGCTCCGCCCGCAGAATTTGAATAGAGGGGTTTTTTACGGGTCTAAAGGAAGACTATTTTAAGATCTGCTGCTAAAGAATTCTATGCTCTCATTGGCTTTAGAACAAAAGTGTGCTGTGTGAAATATAACTTCTTGGAGAAAAATAGCACTTTTCGAAGAGAAGTATTCTTACGCCAACTACCTTTATGCTTATTGAATATTTGAAACATTTTCGCGAAATTTCGACTACAACTACTACCTTACGGACTGGAGTTCGAAGGAAGAATGGGGAAATTATTTATAAAGACACTAATTCTTTGATAACTGCAAAACATGCTTTAATTGAAATTCCCTAGGCGCGAAAAATAGCCTATACTGTTATGCTCAAATCTCTAGTCGGCTTTGTTTATTGTTGCTACTAACCACAGATTTAGAAAAGCTTTGTTGTTGTTTGAATTGCCTTTGTCGCCTTTTGTAACTTTAACTGGAGGTTGGGGTTTAAATTTGAAATAAATTTGTAAAATGTGGAAGGAGTGGCAACCAAGGATTTGTTTTTGATATCCATAAATTGAGGTATAACTGGACCACCGGTAAAAGATCAAAAAGTAGTCTTGGCGTATTCGCCAGGCATATTTAACTAAATAAGAATAAATTAGCTGTTTTAAAGCCGTCTTTTCACTTCCTACTTCTAGAAGGATGAATATGCAGGAGCAGAGGCCTGTTTACGTAGGAGAAGGGAGTCTGTCAAACTCCTACCACCAAGGATTCAATAACGCCGCAGTAGTCAATACGAGTCCAGTCCCGCCTATTTTTGAGGACCATGTCAGAGGTCCGCAAGTCAATGTGAGTCCTGTGTACCTTGCCTTTATTGAAATAGAACTTCACACTTCCCTGCTCCGAATTTATTAGCTCAGCAATAAAATGGGTTTTCACAGCGAACGGATTTGTCCCAGAGATCAGGCAATCGCCAGTTTAAGGAGGGATTACATAGTTGGATGCTGGGAAATCCAAACCAACAGTTTTTTCGCGATAACTAGCAATGGCCGTGCATTTGTTTTATTACCTGATGTAATTAGAATTGCACTCCAAACTCGCGCTACCTTTTAATGACAACAAAAACATTAAGAACTAAAGGAAAACATCTCTTTTAAACGGTCAAGCAACCCCCATGACTTGACAAAGAGTGGGAACATGACATTGGAATGAAGTCGGCCGCATCACTTGCCCAGCCAATGGGCGCCTTTGACTCCAAAACCCAACGTATTTAAAAGTCCACAGTTTTGCGCCAATTCTAACAAGCTGATCATAGCAACTACAGGGTTACTTTCTCCTGCTATTTCACTTTTAGAATTTTCGATTGTGTAAAACCTTAAATATTTGCTCGAAATGGTTTGATTTAAAGTTTGCCAAATTCTAAGAATTATTTAACAAACATATAACTTTAGATTTCGATTTGTAGCGTGAGTGTCCGGAATCAACTTTTATTTTCCTTTTTTTCCAGTAATTTTTACATTATACACAATTGTTTTAAAGTACACAAATTTTAATACAGATTAGATGTTCTCAATCTCCTCACCTATTATTGGTTGACATTAAGTTCATATGGCCTAGCACGACTGATCTCGGCAAAGCCGCAGATCACGGATAGAAGGTGAGGTGGTGAACATTTATGTTGGCGGAGGAGGCAATAACTACCTCATACCCCTAAAACGTACTCTTGTTTGCATTTGTGTTTCAGAGAACTCGTGGGGACTCACCTTCCCCAATGCGTTTCTGCGTTCAAACAAAAGATCGTTTCGTCGTTCGGGTGGTCAAAATAACCGATAAGAAGACGTTTCAGCTTGGAGTTTCTACAGACAGTCCCACTTCTACGCCAGTTGAACCACTTAAAGCCATTTTGCATGATCCCCAAAAAATGCAGAACATAGAGAGGCTTATTTTGGAGGCGATAAAGGGCAATAATCCCCCCATATACATCGGGTTTCAGGCTCAACTGCCTGCAATTGCTCTGGGCTATGTCCTAAAATCCACCTCTGCTGACCAGGTGAATACGCCTAACGTGTTGCAGACCTACCGTCAATGTCGGCTCGGTAAAGGCGTGCGCCTGTGTTTCACTTGCCCACTCCTGGGCAGGGGCCTTAACATTCAGGATTTCTTCTCTGGAAAGGTGTTCCAAAGGGTACTTTCCCATCATCACTTGTAGTTATAATTTGCATTTTTCTGACCAGTTGAAATTTGATTGGTTGATGATTTATTGTTGACTTAGAGGGGTTCAAACAACCCAAATACCCCCGTGACACTCACTTAAACGCATCTCAGGCATACACCGTCACCACATAAGCTGCCTTTGTTTACATGCGCAAATAGACACTTTGAGATCTTCTACTCACCGAGTGACGTTGACACGGCTACGTATTTGACTTTTTTGTTTAACTTACTTAGCTGACAAGTTGGGAGAAGAGTTCACGACAACCGGGAGTACTCGTTGAGGCACTACAGGCTCTGAAAAAGTCCGTGGATTGGATGCTGCAGCAGATACAGTTGAATGGCCTACGAACTGTTCTACCGGAAGTGGATTATATATTTTATCCCTGTGCTGCATCGCCTCTACTCTCTACGTGAGTTTTACCAACCTCGTTGTGTTGCGAAATTTGTATTCGCGGCAAGCGTGGGCACTTTAAAGACGCCTTTAAATAATGCAATGTTGCTGCCTTAAGTACCTGACCAACTAAATGACTCGAAATCTATTGGTTGGCATAGTAACAGCACAATAACACTGTAAATTTCATAGTCATTCATTTACTAATGGCTTTATTAGGTTGGCCTTGAAACTCTGCGAATGTACTTTAAGAGGATGCTTTATACTGATACATTTATTGTATTCCAGACAACAAGCCGTCCACAATTTGAGCTGTTCAGTGGATTCGACAGCATCAAAGTGTACAGACTTGGCTGTACCCAGTTGTTCAAACTGCGCTCTCACTCCTCTTATGCCTAAAAAATCCAGTCCTGTGACCATTCCTACTAGTAGAGAGAGAGCAAGTCGTCAGTTGTCAATGGTGCCACCGGGTCAAGGCATTCAACAACACCAACGACAACAACAAAATCCACTTCTTGCAACACTCATCAACTCTTCACGTCCACTCTCCGCCTATGGTACCTGTTTTGATGGTGCGAGAACAGAAAACGTAGTAACAAAGTCGTTGGATAGACAAATATCCTCCTCAGTTGGTGCCTACGGTTCCTCTCTTCACCAACTGTCGGAATACAATCTTTATGGTAAGTCCTAACTTGAGAAGTTGTTCTGCTACCGCCACGTATGATTCACCCACTCTTCGCCCATTCACTGCCTAGAAACACGATATTTGAAGGAGCTACAGCAACACTCAACAGGGACGTCTTCCATCATCAGCATTTGTCACACCGATTGTAATGAGGCGCCCACTGATCAGACCTGCAATGGGTCCCTTGTTAGCGCTTCGGCGAGTCCACCTTCTCGGTGGCTATCCAATCTCGCCTCAGCCATTAACCCGGCTCTCGAGAGAGGCAAGGCATGCGGCACATCTCCAGTCTACCTATCTGGTGTAAATCCACAAAAGGCAGTCAAAATCTCCTCCTCCCTATCCCAGGAGAATGATTTTATGGCCACGGTGAGAGAGGATTGCAAAGGCTCGGACCTTGGCTCCTTTTGCTTAAGTACAAAAGAAGGTGTACTGTAACCCCCAATTTCCTTTTCAGTTAATCAACGAGGTCGTGGATCGTCTGCGCAAAAGTCCACATCTGCCTCTGGTTGTAATGCCAACTCAAACACCTGGCTCACCCCCCATTGTCTTTCAACTGCCTTCATCCGATGTCATATTTGTTGGTCTACCGGCCACAACCGGTCAGAATGGACATGAGAGACCACGTCTGGTTACATCACCAGCTGATAGCAGTGCTTTTGTGGTCACCTCGAAGAGGACAACAAGTAGTACAATTGGTGTCCAACCCTTTAATTATTATGCGGAGAGACCGGATGACCCGACTTTCACCGTCTCCGCGCCCCATCCAGGCTGCATTTTGGGAGTCTCACCGGAGGGTGACCTCTACGAATTCAAGCCTTCCTGAGGAAATATGCACTCTCCAGTGTATTATTTGAGGGCCTTAAAGTGAATGTACTTCTGACCAAGTAATTAAATGATCTCATCACAACACCTTTCCCCCTCCATTCACCTCCGCCTCCTCCTGCTCCTCCTCCTCCTCCTCCTCCTCCTCCTCCTTACCCAGCATTACGTGAACGATAAATCATGTAATTGATTGAATACATAGTAAGACTCCCAAAATATTACGCTTGAAATGTATATAAAAATAAGCAAAAAAAGGAACGTCAGTGGGTGACAAGTACCTGCTCCCCACCGAATCACCTGTTAATGATGGAGGCAGCTACTTATTTATTAATGAGTAGGTGAACCTCCTATATTAAACTCTTTATTTGAAGTTTTAAAGTTTAGCCTTTTAAACAAGAAAAGGAATTATGAACTGGAACTGTTTTGCAATATCGTAGTTCGTAGAGGGCTACTTGAGTGACTGAGTCAACGCTCTGGCCAAAGGTCAATCCGTTTTTCCCATTGTTCCGCTACCGATTAGTCCTAACTTACCTCTCCTTCTCCCTCTGCCTTACTTTATCTCCCTCTCTCTAATATGAGACCACAACTGTAGTTGCTTAAATAATATAGTTGGATGACTTCATGTCCTGACTTTGGTGGTGGCTTTCCTGATTTTGGCAGTGACTCCACCGCTACTCATCCCAAGTCGCTCTCTCTGGCCTGGGCAACTTGTCAGCGCTTTCACGCTGGCAGTTATGCTGCTCACTCAGTCGCCTGAATGCACACATTTGGCACACAACCAAAAGTAGCACTAAAATTTAGCCCTATTTTAACAGCTTCACGGAAGTTAGTACACTTTCCGAGAATCAGTTTTACGTGGTGGATCGTTTAAATTTCCCTTCTTTCTTCAAATAACTTTAAGGCGATCCTGTTAGGGGTAAAAAATGAAGCTTTCTTTGTTTTTCCTTTTGCTTTGAGAGGGGCTGTATTTAAACAGCTACGCCTCCTTTGGTGCGATTCGCAGGCACCCAGACCCCCCTGTTAACGGTAAGGTGACTGGGCTGGCTGAAATATCAGGCCAGACAGCGTTAGTCCGGTGAACCGGGCGAACGCAAATCCCTTACCTTCTCTTTCATCAACACCCCATTCTTCCCTTTTCCCTCTCAATACGTCCGTCCATCCATCCTTCTGCAATGCTTTTTGTTGGAAAACTTTTTTAATGACCGATAATATTTAGCAAAGTCATTTACACCAAGTAATATTAGCTTTGAGAGTTTATAGTCTACTCAGAAGTAGTAATATGCCAAAGAATGTGTATAGAAATATACTACTTATTATCGCAGTAAGTAGCGGTCTAGGAGGCTTGCTTACTTGATCCGAAAGTGGAGGTACAAACCGCATAGAGGGAGGGGCTTCGTCTTGAAGCACATCAGCTTAATGCCGAGCTTGAAGAGAGAGGAGTCTTCCTAGTCACCCCCTACTTCACACGTCACGGCTTTGTTCATGAGGTAAATGAAATGATCGAAGGCGGGTCCACGGATTAGGGGCTAGACAAAGCAATGTGTAGCTCCTAACAAGGGTAAACAACAGGCAAGCAACATTCGATAAAAAGCTCACCTTCACTATAATAAAAAGAACAGGTGAAAATGATGCTAACAATGATGGCCTCTCATAAGCACAAGCAGCGGAGGAGAAAACAAGAAGCCTACTGCATTGCCATTATTGTATTAAAAGACGAGCATAAAAATATTAAAAGAGAAAAAATTTCCATTCTTTTTCAGTGTGTGGAATAGTTTCAAAGAAGGCAAAAGTGAAGAGGAGTAAATAAAGGCGTTTTTTCCATCCGCTTTGTGGGTTCCACTAAGGCAATGTATGAAAGTTGTCAGATTTTGTGCACTGCTTTCTCCGATTGCATCGTAGGGACGACTGCTCCGAGGCGGTTGTGTCCACTCGTCGATGAAAATGAGTGGAATACATCTTAAAGGACTTCAAGTAGCTTTGAATCTCCGTATCGGGTTCAATTTCGTAGGATCTAATGACCAAAAGAGCCGGACTTTTGCACTGCATTTGCTACACTACTAAAAGGGCAATCCCACGCACTTCAGTAGTATATGTGGGGCGAAAGGAAATCACGTTAAAATGTAGGTTAGTTGCAGTATGTGGACTAGGCCGCAAAAAGTTCATCTCAAAGTCAACTGACAGTATAGTTTGTGTTGGATACTACTTAATCGCTCCAGCGGGCAGATTAAGTAGTACGAAATCATGTAACGTTTCGATAATTTTTTTTGACTACGCACAAAAAACTCACCCTTTTTCATCTTTTTCCAGCATATCTCGATCGGCGCGTTTCATAAAGTAGCCCAAGATAAGGTAGTGTTTCCAGCACCGCCAAAAATTGACTATCTTATTGGCGTCCACCTCATCGCCAGTAATGAGGCCTTGATTGGTGTGCGAGGTGGACGTCGTCTCCCCTCCCGAGGGGGATGATAAAAAGAGCACATTTCCATTATCTAGGTGGATGAGTTGTTGGAAGACCAGACCCAGGTAGGGTAGGCAGGGCATCTTAGCTGCCTCGAGGTCGCGACGATAGGCACTGAAACTCGGTGGAAGCATGTAAGCTCCCAGTTTTGTTAACCTCTAAAATGTGAAGAAAAGGAGGTATCAGTGGGGACACTTGTCCAACTGCGTTACCTCTGGCACGCAGAACGAATCCGCCTCACCAGTTTAAGCCTTTTGGAGACGCTTTGTGTTGGTGCATTTTGCAGACCCAGTATCACCGCCAAAAAGGAGCTGAAGTTGTTTATCTTTTTCAGCTCCTAAAAGATCATTTCAAAAAAGAAAAAAGTGAGGCAAATATATTATTTACAGCAAGTCAAGTGAGAAATGGTTAAGTTCTGTACATCCGGGACCAATGTATTTAAAGTGCAGGAAATGCGGTCAATTCAAAACTGGCAGGCGCATGAAATTGAATGGATGTTTGTGAGGCTTTTTAGGATTAAATAAAGCTTTATGCTAAGGTGGCCGTTCCTTAACATCCTTAAAAGGAGTGTAGGGGGGACAGGGAGGCTGAACGGAGTATCTGCAATATCGGAAAGGGAACCTCCACATTTTTGCGTTGTTTTGGAGGCCTCCACGTGCACATTCCAGAGCATTCCTTTATTCGCACTGGCGTTGAGCCTGTATCACGGCCACAACCTGTAAGGTCAAGGCCACTCCAAGTGCATCGGATAATCCTGTAAGCTAGAATCAGTTTTTATAATCACGTGGTCCAAATGAAGGGCCACATTAAACCCACCTCACGCAAAGCGACTGATTAAAATGCCTTTACCATGGCAAAATTATTTCCACACCCTGTAACTATTCACCCAACAAAGAAGGCGGCAGGAATGAGTAGCCTTACCTGCGCCAGATCGCATAGATGAACGAGGGTATTTTCCAGTAGGACATTGCTCCTTTTCATCCTCAACGGAAGAGAATATGACACGGAGGAGAGGCAGAGATAACTCTTTAGACTGGCGCCTCGAGATTCCGCAAACTTCTTTGACACCCTTTGTAGATTATCCTCCATAAGGCGTTGTTGTATTAGCGCCTCCCTCTGGAGACCACACAGAGGACAGAGATGGTCAGGAGTGTTGATCTCTTGGAGCGTCTCATCGACGCAGGTGTCACATTCACCACTGTCTGATTGAACTTTGGAAAGTGGCTCCCCCAACTCCTTTGCTATGCGGGTTAGACACTTGACCATGGAATTTAGGTCGTTAAAGTGTTGAATACATCGAGAGAGAGTTGGTGTATTCCCCTTTTCAAGGTCTTTTATACTGATAAGTTCATAGAGCTGTCAAAGGCAAGACAAGTTGGTGGAAGTAAAGAGAAAAAATTGCAAAGAAGAGTATGTCAAGAAGCTGCAAATTAATCTACCTGAATTCCATCAAAACACATCTCCTCCATAGAGGTTATTTGTTTAGCCAAGGCGTTGACCTTGAACCGGAGAAATTGGCTCAGCCTATTGGATAGAAAAAAAGGGGTAAAAGAAGCAAGAATGTAAATTATGCCACACAAATCTTACCTTTGATAGCAGGTGCACGTGAGAAAGTTTATTTCGCTGCCCACTTTCTCCTTTGCAGGTTGCTCAGTGTTGACCTCTTCTGTGAAACGTCTCCTACCAACAGCGGTGGGTACCAAATCCAGTAAACTCTCGGCGATACGAGTTAACTCATCGGAAATGGCACTCTTTTGTTTTGCTAGTTTTACTAAAGACCCATTTGGGATGTTGGATAAGGTGTCCTCCTCCCCATCCTTGTCGATGTCATCGTCTACAGTACTATGATTCCTAGGCGAAAGACTTCCAACCAATCGGGAGTCCATTTTAAGGAGTTGAGCAAACCGAAATATTTTATTCTCCAACTTGGCATCATATAAAACACGCTCCGTTCGTGTGAGCTTGAAAAAGGGAAAAAGCGAGGAGAGAAAGGGGTTTTTTCCTACAAAAAAAATAAACTTCTAGGGACACTTGAGCAGGCTTTATGAGTTAAATGATGACGTTTTGATTTTCTCGAGATTAAATAAAATCTTTGCTTATTTTCGCCGTTCTAAAAACGCATAAATTATTCCCAAATTTGGAAAATAGGAAATGAGTAGTGCTTTATTCGTCGTTAATTATCCATTTTTTCTGGAAGAAAAAGAATAACCCTCCGACGAATTTTAAGTCTGATCGTCACAAGTAGCCTCAACCAACGCGGCAGTAAGCCTCTAAGCGCCCAGTGAAGTTGGCTTTCAATTTCTTCTATCTTCCCATTTTCCTTTGGGAGTAAACTTACCAATTTTAGGAGAAACTCTAAGGTATTGACAGCTTCATTCCAGTCTCTCCCGGGTTCCACCGCTTCGCCCTTCTCACTTATGCAGCCAAGACCTCCAGGTTCAATGGGAACGAAAGCCAAGTAGCGTTGAATCAGCCGGGAGACCACTTCATTGGCAATGGTAAAGGTGGGATAGAGTCGCATGAAGATGTTGGGTATGAGGCTCTCGTAGGTGTCTAAAACGTACCGTTGCAAATCTATTTAACCCGACTTTATTTTTCAGCAGTCAGAGTGCGACCCACGGACTCAGCTACCCCCAGGGGAGGCTAGAGCTCGTAGAGGCACCGAGGTTGGAGCTCCAATGCACAAAAGCGTTTATTTGCATCCATTTTAACACCTAAATCGGTACATTAAAACAAAACGAACATTTTTCCCTCACTAAATGTTACAGGCACCGCAACGAGGCTTTCGAGGCACAAATTCACTGAGACATTCTATTCGCTACATTTACCAAAAAAGTACAAAACATCTCTACTCCTTTTGTAAATAAAAAAGAGATTTTATGAAGAAAAGACTTTCAAGTCTATTGTCGTTTTAGCAGGTGCATTACCGGATTTATTTTGCCGAAAAATTTTCAACGCGTAGACAAGAAGACCATCTAGGGTGCCACCTCGGAGAAGGCAATTTCGTTTCCGCAATGTAGACCCGATCTCCTACAAAGCGAGGACATTTAATTGAGCCTAACCTACCGCGCTCACTTTGAATTTATTAGCCAGAGGTGTTGGTGGGCTAGTCGCATAATTGGGTGAGACAAATGAAAAGTCACCACTTCCAACAGGATTTTCTCCAAGGGATGTACTTCTGCTTAATTATCAATAAAGCTGAAAGGGTCAGCGTTGATAGGTAAGTGGAATAAATAATAAGGTAACTCCACATTAGTGATGGCCAAGTCAATGCTTCCCCTAACTTATTTATGAGATGCCCCTGAAATTACACATTGAATAAGATTGATTGTTTTGTCATTTTCTTCATGAAAAACGCCCCAGCAACTTGGTAAGTAGGAAGAGCATCAAATGCCACTGCACTCTTGACGGAATTAAAAAGTTGCATGTACCCTCTTTGATGCATCTAAACAATCAAAGGAGAAGAGTAATTTGCTATCCACGCCTGCAAAATAAGTCAAAATGTGTAAGAAAATAGTGCTCCAGTAAATGTATTCTCTAAAAAAGGGGAAAAACATTCATTTGTCGTTAATCAGGTTTGGATATATTATAGTTAGAACTCAAATGATATAAAATGCTGTGTAAACTTGGGGAGATCTAGTAGCTTTGAACAAATAGGAGATTAATCGTGGTGGACCCAGCAAAACCGACTTCAGTGTCTATTTTCCATAGTTTTTATACGTAATCAACAAGACAAAAGCCTTCAGCTCCACCAAAACTCGTAATTTTGCGTGAGCTTTCAAATGTCAAATGGCAAACCGATCGAAATCGCCAAAATTAATAAGCCTTTGGTAGATTAATCAGTTCATCTGTTTTATAGTATAGCTATGAATTTTTGGGCTTTTACAGAAAAAAAACCCACTGAAATTAATCCCTATTTTGAAAATTTACAAATACAAATCAAGTAATTAAAAGGGGGGAACCAGTGGCAACTAGAACATAAAGAAATAAAACAACTTAATTTAAGTGAGGACTTGTAATTCCACCGATTTTTAAATGTGATTAATAAGTCTTCATAATTAGTAATCTAACTGTTTTTTCTACTTTTTATTGGTGAATTTTACTTAACAACACAATGCGCATTTTTGGGCATGCCAGTCAGGGTGGTGAATCCATTTGTCTCGATGTGTTAGATATGTTGGTCATCCGGTAAATAAAAATGCGTAACATAGTAAGGAAGAAGACGTCTTTAAACAAGCTGGGCCAGATAATTATTCCCTTTTATGGAAGCAGGATGGGGACTCACAAAACCGTCAGGCATGGAAAAAAGAAGGGACTCCTCCGGACTGTCCATGATCATGAGAGCACGAGGGCACCAGGCGTCAGCGGTAACAGTAGACGTGGATCGCGGCAATTGGTTAGGCGGTGTGATACAACTGTCACTTCGCATTTCCGGCATCTGCCTGCCAAGTATCATGATAGCTGCGGCCGCGGCTGGACACAATGACTGGAGGAGTTGGAGACGATCGTAGGAGCAGAGATGAAGGGGAGGAAATGAAATGACCGCCTCCTCCTCACCACCCAGTGGGGAACGGGCAACCTGTTTCCAGACCTCGCTGACATTTGCAACGCTGTGGCACATAAACACATTAAAAGAGCATACCAGGGCAACACTATAAATGTCACCAGCCTTGGGTTTCAAATTCCGGGAATAACTATGACGGCTGGGGGTAATGCGATGGCAGTTTACTAACTAACCTCCCACATTTAGGACTGAAGCTATGCTATGTAAACATTTCACCACAGAAATCTTTTTTCGCGTCATGTGGTGAAACGAAGTCGCCAAGTTTACATTGAAATGGAAGCACAATCGTGGACGATACGTCAATCTGTTAGGGACGTGCCAACAGGAGTGTTTTAGCTAGAACAAGGAATGACAAGAAGTCTCAATAGAAGAAATGGCGATTTAGGGCATTGCTACAAGTTCATGAGCGAAATGTGTACAGCACCGAATAAATAGGTTTTTGTTTAGATAGATGGTAGAATTTGTTCAAATCCTTGTTTAGCTCAAGCATCCGATGCATTTTACCGCTTCTAGCACTTTTGACTCCTTAAAGTGTATCGTCACAGCCCAACTTTAGAATTTTAAATGGGAGGGTTGGGCTGAATTAAAGACTGTCAACATTGTGCGACGTTTCGTGGGTATTCAAGGACAAGTGTTCGTTAGAGGGCACTTCACTTCCCACAGATTAACAATTAAGGTATGAGCCTGTATTTCGTGAACTTGGTAAGATAAACAATGCACAATACCTCCTTTCAAGAGGCACAGTAAGGCAACTTTGAGATGTTTCTTTAGAAAACCGACAGAGGTGACGCAAGATGCTTGTTTTACTGGGCTAGTGGGTAACAACTCGAAGGCTAATTTAGGAGGAAAGAAATGCTTCCTCTACAAAGTTACACTGCCCACATCTGCATACGCTAATAACAAAACCAAATACTCCGTATTTTTTCCCTGTTAGAGACAAAAATACACGCAAGAAGAACACAGCTACATCCAACTAGTAAGTCAATGCAGAGGCTCAGTTTAGCCACACGCCTGAATCACCTGGATCCATCTAGATCTGGATTTTAGAATTCGCTAGGTGCATTAGGAACTGAGCTATAGCAATGTTAGAGGGGCGAAAATAAATGCCATCTGAGGGGAGGAGGACTATTTACACCAACAATTTGTGACCTACAAGTGGAGTAGGTTATCTTGTGATCGCGCAGGCGTCTTCGGCACTCCTGATTGATCATTGGTGATTGTACAAGATGGTGGGATTTCACAACTTTTTTCTGAGCTCCTCTGAAAGAAGAATGATATATATAACATTTCATATAGTAGATCACTTACCCGATTAAAGTTTTAATTCTGTAGAGAGGGGAAAAGAGAAAGAAATGTAGATACATTAGGTTTTTAAGTCACTTAAATATAAAAAGGATGAATAATTTCATTTCTGGGGAAACAAATTTCTTGTCTAACTACTAGTATTTGTTAATAGGGATATATGTATAAACAACATGCAGAAGAAATTTATGCCCAAAAAGCTGTTTGCATTAGTTTTATTTATACTTGTATGGAATACATTCTTTTTAAAAATAGCGTCACTACAAAATGTTTGTTTTAGTGATTACAGACGCTGCGTTTTTCTCAAAACTCAGAGACTGCGTGCTGAACCGAAGCAAGGTTCCTTTCTGTTCTTGTGATATAGAGAGATGGGAAGTGACTTCAGCTCAACGCATCACTTCCTCTGTTTTTGATTGAGGGTCAGTCAGAAACACGTTTGTGATTGGAGCGGCCGACTTTATGCTCTTTAATTTATGGTATCCCCTTTATACACATTTTTGTTAGTATTTCCTTCTTTTTCCCGTCAGGACTATTCATCTAAGTAAAGGATAACTCAAGAGAGTTTGTTGCTAAATGCACACTCTTAGTTGAGACAAAACCGCTCCTGCTTATAACTGAAATTTTTGGCCTTCCTACTATAATTCAAATGAGTAGTATAACAGACCCATCTTGCAATCTTTGTATGCTGCACATAGGTGCTTCGATACAGCTGTTTCCCAGTTTGTGCACTTCGTTGAGTAAATTTCTGCAGACAGGCAACTATTCTCGCCTTCGCGGTTGTACCGGCTGCTCCAGCCGCCTCGCGACCGTAAGTAATGTCGGAATGATGCCATTCAGCTGGAGTCACGCAGAAGATTGAATCATCCAGCCCGGACACCTCAAATGGGGAACTCAGACTCGCGGGCAATCGGGGATCCAGAATTGAAGCCGTTTTATCCCAATGTCCAAAATGATACATATGGCTTATAACTGGAAAAAGGTAAAAAGAGAGCAGCTAAACGACAGTTGTTGACAAAGGCTAGTTGATAAATCTAATCGGTTCAGATTAGGTGTGGAGCTCGCTGAAAATCTACGCCTCGTTAAAGTGCCCCACGTGCAGGGTACTTTCAGCCCTTAATGGACCTTAGCTAATTAATCACTTTAACCACCACCTTTACCTAATGGAATGGCAGGAGTTGTGCTAGATTCACTTTTGGTCATGAGGGTGGTTGCCGAATCCACCCTGGGAGAGCATATTTCCCGTTGCTCCGAGCCGCCGTCACCTTGACAGTACACATTGCTGGGGCTTAAATGAGTCTTCCCTTCGGGGGACTCCCTTTGGGCTGCAATGACAAGGCGAGGGCTGAAGCCGCCCTCTTGATTTTGCACCTGTAAATCGAGGCGTGCTCCATTGTCTTCGAAGACTCGATTGTACTGGTCAAAATTGGCAGAGACATACTTTTCTGGAAGCTCCCTATTTCCTGTGTTCTCGGTTTCTCCACTTGCTGGTAGCATAAATATCTAAACGCAAACAAGGAAGTGAATTGAAATGTGCCCTACTTCACGTGTTTTTTGACTTTCAAGTACGACACGCTTTTGAAAGGTTTGTCGATACTTCTTCCCATTTATTATAAGCTCTTCACAGACAGTCTCCTCTTGGGTGCGGTGAAATGGATCGGCTGTGGAATCGTTTTGTGCTTCCCTGAGCCTAAGGACATTAGGCTCGGAGGAGAATGGCACCTCTATTAGCTACAAGGGAATAATGCATGGTGTTTTAGAAGGATCCTTTATCACGTCCAATTGTCAAACGCTATATTTGAGGGTCTTGGCACAAACCGGTGGCACCAGCATTCAATCAACAGTCGTCTAGCACGTAGGAAAACACCTCACTTACATGTTTGCGCCCTAGCTCGTTGCCTTGGGTACATTTCGGGTTGTGGGTTTGAAAGAAGGCCTGCTGTAATTCACAGGTGGCATTGGCAACGTCTCTTCGCATCTGTTCCACAGATGGAAGGACTAAAGGACTTTGGGTCTCTTCTGACAACCGCATCATTACATTGGATGGGGCACTTTCACCACCTGGCGGATTAGATCTTGCGGCGGAAATGTTAAGTGTGGCCATGGTGTGCTATAAAGTTCGACATTAGGAGGACATATAGAACCACAGGTGTGGATGACGTATAAAAATGAAGAGAGAAGATACGAATCACTTTTTATGAAGTCCTCAATTCCATCAGGCAAAATTTCATTGAACCCTATCAAGGACAAACTAAGACCTTTTGTGTGGCGCCTCTCAAACACTGCCGGTAAGTTGGACTTTAGCCCGACAAGGAAGAAAAAAATGCTTGTTCTCCAGATCCAAAAGCATTTTCCACGAGCCTCAAATCAGAAGCTCTTAGTTCTCAAAGACACTTTGAGGTGGGATTATAAAAGAAGCATCTCAATTAATGCATTTTCGAGTTGGTAGGCATGGCAACCAGATGCGATGGGAGGGAGCGTAGAGACTAAGGTGTCACACGTGATCAAGATTTAAGATCCAACTGGTATTACACAAGTTCAGCAAAACATGACAGCAAGCGACAAGTCATTTTATGCCAATTCGTAGTGGATTCAACTGAAATTAAATAACCCCACCTTTTGTTTTACTGAATAAAGCAAGGCTGTTGCGTTTCAGGGCACAAACTAGAAGCCGCATTGGAATGAGGCGGGAGGTTACTTAGCACTTTGTCTGTGGGCAACGTCGAAGCTTAAATCGCTGGGTCTTTATAAATGGTGTGTGTTGGAAAAGTGAATATAATCACGACCATCACTCGCTGGCATCCAGCCAGTGGATTGAAGCGTTTGTACAAGTGAATATGCGCATATTTTATGCGGTCGTCTTCCGTCGGGACCGACCAAAACAATTATGACATTTCGCTTCCGGCATTGCTTCCCGACACAGATGAAGCCTGCATGTAAACAAGCTGTTCCTGGCCTCCTATTCAAAAACAATACACGCAACAATGCTGGATCTATCAGTAAGCACCGATCATTTTTTGAGGAGGAAAAGAGGCAGTATGAGATTAGGCAGCATGAAAGGCCTCACAAACCACAACCTAGTTTGATGATTTGATGGGGCAATAAAATTTGTGGTGAGGGACGCCTCGCAGGCGCACTCATTTGCACTGTTTTCAATCAAACTCGAAACTATGTAAAATTGCAACATTCTTCACCATGTTTTTGCTTTTCATTCACATCAACTCGGTTTTTTTTTTTGATTTCTGAAAAGACTTCGAACTTAAATTGCCACATAAAGTAACGTATTCAACTTTATTACTTCGTACGACCTAAAAGGTGGCTTTGAAAGGAGTTAACGTCAATAGTAATGGCAAATTTAAGAAAGTAGATGGAAAAATTTGGAATTCACGCAACATCGGTGGAGCAATTCTTCCCCAAATCCTTAAACAGGCACAAGAATATATTAAAACAAAATGACACGATTGCAAAATGCCTTATCTCATTTAACGAATTCTAACGATTACCTTACCTAAGCCGAACAAAAGAAAAATATTTTACCTCTCGCTTTAAGAATTTGTTTATCCGAACTGTACACATCAGATAGGGAAAGCAACTTACTGGAGATGGGGTTAGTTGTTTTTACGTGAATCTAGACAGATAACATTAAGGAATTCAGTTGAGTGTCTTTTGCAATTGCAATCGGCGAATCTGTGCGTTTGTGTTTGTGCCCTAGACTTCAGCCTTTCGTGCGCCAGTCCAATTGGCCAACAATTTTGTAGATTACGCACTGCAATGACCAATCAACGGTCAGCGTGTCACGTCGAGTGCGTGCCAGCTGACGGCCTGTTACACCGCGGTATTTGTGTTCGTGTGTGTGCGTAGTTGTGCGTAAGTGCGCACTGCTATTGCTGCCGCCATACGGGGCTTAGTATTCGGACGCGGGATAAATTGTCATCTTGTTTAAAATTATTTTGAGGACCGGTAGTACAGGTAAACACTGCAACCCCACACACTTAATGGGCCAACTGTGCGGATATACAGTGCCGAAAGGAGAACAGGTGCCTCCCACGCTGATTCAGGTGATTAGGCAAGGCCTGCCGACGGACAGCCTGCAACGAGGACGGAATGTCCCATGAAGGGGGGAGGGGGTTGATGCATGCTGCCGACTCACCGTTACGACAGCGCACGCGTGCGCAACCCCGACATTGTTCACATATTTTGACAAGCACGACCCCAAACTGTCTGCACTCGCATGGACGAGGCATCGTCATTTGACAGCAAAATTCTGTTAAATTCCTTCGTTAATCGCAGTTGTACCAGAGGGCTCCGTGATCTGGACTTCACCATCCACTTTTAATCCCGACTGACAGTCAGCAACGGCCCGATCCAACAGCAGTCCGTCAGCAGCGAGACTGGCAGCCGAGCAACCCGATCGCAGTTTCAATGCCACCCCCTCTCCACCAACCAACACGGCTATTCAGAGAAGACCAAGTAATTAAAAATGCTGGATTAATGCATGTGAATGTGGTGTCTTCCTAATCATGAAATTGCCAGCAGAGAGGGTGGGGGATCGACTACTCCCACTCAATCGTGGCCGGCGGTTTTGCAGTCATGTCGTAGAGAACGCGCGAAATTCCGGCCACTTCCTCGGCTGCCTTTACTATCTTTTCAACAACCTAAAACGGAAACACACCCTACTTTTAAAATATCCTTAAAAGGAAAGCTTTAAAAACCTTTGTCTCATCTTCTAGGACCGATTCCCAAGGCTTAATTTATCTATGGCACGAATGCTGCGAACCCACGTCCACGCACCTGAAGCGGTAGGTCAACACCAGGCATAGCAGGCAGACCCGTCATGAAGTCGGAGGTAATGAATGGCCTCAACACAACCGAGCGAAGGATGGAGGAGGCGGCCATCATGTTGGCGGGATCACGGTCAAAGTGGATTGGGATAAGCACAACGGGTATTTGAGCCACACGGCGCATGCATCCTTCCTGCAACAACACGGCGTTCACCCTCGCGTCCACCTCCCGCAGAGTCTCAATAACCGGCTCGCGGAGGTAGGTCACAGTGACGTCGCTCACCGAGAACTTTATCTGTGATCCAAATGCGAAGACCACTCTGTAGGATTGGAAGAAGTAAAAAGGGCATTTTAGGGAGTCAAACAACATAAAGACTCATGCTTAGGCTTTTGGACAAAGTTAACAGGACTAAAACCTAATCGGTCAAAGGTCAATGCGGAAGAGGTTATGCAAGGCATGAAAGACCGCGCAAGGCAGTGTTGGAGATGAGCATAGGCGGCATACTTGCACAAACACCTTCTGTCACACCATTTGGTTGCACAAAACACGTCTATGAAGGCAGCTAATTTTTATGCAAATCTATTCACCCACAGTCACCTCTCTTGCACACACACGCATACACACACACAGAAAAGACTCAAAATACGATGGCAGGCACAATGACACCGGTGCGGTGAGATAAAGTGGATGACCATCTTTGCGTGTGCAAAATGAGATTTGCCGTTTATTAAACATCGGTTTGGGCGGTCCCTTTTTTGGACTAGGAGTTGAGGCAAAAAAAAGGATCCTTTCACAGCCAAAACAGGACGGTAGGCCATGGCAACTATTAGATGGGCAGTGAGCAGCACAGCCTAGCCCTACTGACTATTTTTGGTAAATTAGAGCCGCGTACAATGGCGCACTGAGCTAATTTTGGTGGTGCCAGTAGGAAAGAGGGACAAAGGAGATGATGTAGTCGAGTCGTAAAGAGTACAGCGAATTGGATTTAAGAATTTATCCCTCATTTGATCGAGGTTAGGAATGCTTCCCAGCTTCCCTAATTAAAAGGGAGCCCACACACACTAGCACGCTTTCACTTATGTCCACAATATTGTCCGAATTGCAAAGACAAGCAATGGTGATTTACTAACGCGCGGTGGAACGAAAGCGGTGTACTGACATGACTTCTGCCTGAGAGCACAAGCTGGGAGGAAGGGGTTTTAAGGGAGACCACTTTAAGGCGTCTGATGAGACTCCATTGCTCTCCGATAATACATGCCAAATTTTGATATGGCGGTGGATAAAGGCACTAGGCATGCCATCAAATGTGGGGCCACGGAGTGAGTTTAGTCATGTGGCACCATCAGAAAAACAAAATTAATTTCCACACCAACCTGTTTATATTGTGACATATGCGGGGAATGATTTGAGCTATGAAGAAGAGAGAACGCCAGTCGGGTTCCTTGTCTGACGAAACGACGCAAACGTAGTTGTAGGACCTGCAGTCACCCTGCCAACATGATGTAATAAAAAGACAAATTGCCATCCTTCTCTGTCTCTTCGTGGTGTGAGTTAAAGGAGAAATTGCACACACAGTCAATGCATATACCGTAGGTTAGCAAAATGAGTAGACTTACTTGAACACCGACGGAGCGAATGGGCAAAATTTGAGCAGCAAGAGCCCCGCCAGCGGTGATCGCGTTAAGCCTTCGCTGCTCGTCTGAATTGATGGCAGAATTAATCTTACTCAACAGAGCGTGCGGCTAAAAAAGAAGTCAAGCACCCAAGTTCAACAGTACTAATAGATGTTACTTGAAAAAACAAAGTAGAAGTAATTTGCCTTCTGTGACATTGCCGAATAGCCCGCTATCATTTTGATTAGACTGGTGGTCTCCGGAAAGTCACGTTCTACAAATGGCTCATTGGCACAAAGAATACGAACAGCTAGACCGGGTCCGGGAAAAGGATGACGTTCCACAACCTCCTCGGGTAAACCAAGCAGTCGGCCAATAGAGCGCACCTCATCCTTATGGAAATCAGCTAAGGGTTCGATCACCCGACCCTGCAAAAAACCGTGCCGAAATACGTACTCCGTTTGCCGTCATCGACAGAGTAAATGATAGAGAGCCAGTTGTTTGACACCAACGGCGTGAGGTCACAAGAGCATCCAACTTACCTCTTGACTGAGCTTCTTGACAAGGTCCGAAACATTATGGTGAGTTTTGATCAAATCAGCTTTTTTGGTGACAGATGTAGACGCTGATTCAATGAGATCTGGTCGCAGGGTTCCTGAAGTTACAAAACCGTACCAATTAGTCGGTTAATGCTAAATGCATTCAAGAAAATTTGGAAAAGAAGTGAAGCCATAAATAGCCCACGCAGTGAGTAGCGGTTAGAATAATACCTTGACAAAAGAGGAACTCCTCTGGATTCAGTTTCATGTCCTGCCAAGTCTCTTCAGCCACTCGAATAAAGACGTCCCCAATAATCTTGCGTTTTTCTTCTGGATTGACGACATGCAAGTTGAGAGGACCGATGGGAATGTTGCGAATCTCGTGGTAGGGCACAACTCCTCCATGAATGACCTTAGGAGACAAATCGGCATTATTTTCATTATTGTCCACCTCCATTGCCCTAGGATGTTCCGCAGTCTCTCCAGCAGCATTCGCTCCTTGAGTTGCTTTACAAAGGAGACTGGCTGGCGCCAGTGCTGAGGTGTCTACAGGCACTTGATAGGTGGTCACACCAGAGTAGAAGCGTAATGAGGCATTCACATACTTCACTAAAAAGATATATGTGATTAACCAAAAAAAGAACAAGAAACAGGAATGTGCGATTAAGCAATAGATATACTTAGATCTCAACATCATTTCATGAGAACACCAGGTCGGAAATAGGTTTAAAAGTTATGCATCGAAATTGTAAGCTATGGTTAGCCACTATATCGCATTCTTAATTGCATCAGTACTTAGCATATGCTTTAAGGCATTAAGAATCCCTTGAAAATGGACGACAGGTTGTGCTTGGGACAAAAGATATAGAGGCGATTTGATTAATAGTGAATTGCCATCTGCAGACCGATTCAGCCTTCAAAATGAAGCTTTTTCATGAAGATTACATAGTCCAAAAAACGAACAGAACTAATAGCCACACGGGGAAGGGATGACATCAAACGAGGTGCATAATTCGCTAAACATGAAAACTAACATACCACTAAGACCGAGTTTGCTTAGGGCTTCCAATATCGACTCAGATTCATTTTTCCGCAGGAAGCCATTGTTAATATGAACGGCACAAATCTGTTCCGGTTTGAGAGCCTTCTGTGCAATAGCAGCGCATACAGTTGAGTCAACACCTCCACTGAGTAGAAACTGGAAGGGCGCAAAATATGACCAATGAGACCGTGAGCAAAGATGCTTCAGTAGATGGAGCAGTAAGACTAGCTATCTACTACAGGGGGAAGATTTCAAATCGCATTTTAATTAGAAGTAACGAATACTCAATCACGGGGCAAGTGAGATAAACTCAAAAACCAGAGATACAAAGTGACCAAGAGTTGGGAATTTTGACCTTTAAAGTGCTGCCCTAAAGTATCAGAGAAAGCGATATTACAAGGCGAAACTTTGGCGCTGTCATTTACCTCTACCCAGTTGATTAAAGCAAGATAACTAAAGATAGGATTAGGATTTAATTGATTGAAAAATGATGTTTTTTAGCCCCAATTTGGATATTAGTTGCAGAATGATAAAAGCCTACCAAAACTTTTCTTTCTCCAACCACGTTTTGAAGGTGTTCGATACACGAATCCAGGCGGTCCTCCACTCGAAAGTTTGGCGTAAAACCAGCAATTTTAAACAAGAAATTTGATAGTATATCTTTTCCTTTTGCTGTTAAGTCGACTTCCGGATGAAACTGAACCCCATAAAGGTTAAGTTCGGGTTTTGACATAGCTGGAATAAGAAAAGTCTGGCAGTCCTACCAAAACAATGTACTGAAGTCATTAGCCGGCTGCCAGCAATTCAAGCCACCAAAAATTAGTTAATGCGCAAACATGATGTAATAAATGAGTGTAACTAAGGTAAATGAAACCTATAGAGCAAACAGAAATTATGATCAGAAAGAGCAAAAAGATTTTTGTTTACGGTGAAACCGAATAAAGAGTCAGGCAGAAAAATTTCACACAAAACTCAACGGAAAATAAGCACAAATGAAAACCACCAAAACGATAATACAAGTAATTAAACAGAAAAATTTCTTCAAAGACATACCAACCACATAGTCATCAAGAACCGCAATAGTTAAAAAACCCTCAGCGATAACCGTGCACCGGTCCTCGTGGGTTAAAAGCACAACCTCCTCGGATTGAAGACCGCTAAACGGACAGCAGATAAATGTACAAAACGCCCTTACCAAAAAAGAGGAGACGATGTGTCCAAACGGATTGTAGATTGTCCATCTCTACGCGTATGAGCTTTGTCGACTTTACCACCGCTAAGATAATTAATCAGCTGCAAAATTTAATATCAGTGCTCAAAATACCTGCATCCCATAACATATCCCCAGAACAGGTAAGCGACCTTCAAGTATTTTACGGTCGAAAGCCAAATTATCACTGTCCACTACCGATTCCGGGCCACCAGAGATTATTATAGCTCTGAGATACAAGCGTCAAATGAAAAACTACTTATAGCCTTTTTCCAAGATATCATCCAAAGAACTGTCCAAGGGCAGGATTTCTGAATGAACATTTAACTCACGCACTCGTCTATCAATAACCTTCGGGCATACAAGTAATTACAACTAACCAAACAGACCTTGCAATATTGCGCACCGGCATCAAGTATAGCGACATTCCCATTCATGACGCACAGCTATTCACACGACGATTTAAAAAGTGTGCAGGTTGTTTATTCCTTTACTTCATGTGCTGTTTAAAAAGGAATAATTTCAATTTGATAGCTACGCAGTAATTAAGTGAATTGTTTAGCAAAATTTGTCCTTATAAATTACAGTCTTAGTTTGGTGTCTTTTAATGTATTTGATTGAGTGACCCGCCGAATGTTTTTTACCCACTAATCCTCATTACTAATGCTTTCTAAAACTTCTTTAAAAATAATTTGTTACTAAAGTTAGGCAGTAAGAAAAATATCTGCACAAAAGCGAGCAGGTTTTAAAAATATTTTTTACAAATTAAGCAGTAAATCATTAGAAAACTCTGTGGTTTTCGTCTAAGATTTATTTTGTTTTGACCTATGCGCTAAAATATATTCGATTGGATTGTTTTTTGGGACCTATCCATTACACTCCTTTGGCGATTCTCTCAGAATTTATCACCCGTGCCAATTTTCCTTATTTAACGATAATATAAAAGATCGCCTATAAAAGCGAAGAGCAAATTTATTTTAGGAGCGTCCTACTTTCACCACTTTCTGATTAAATTGTCTCCAAAATTCTGCCACAAGTAACAACCCCTTTCACCCCCTTGAACGCATTCGACCAGCACATTTGTTTACGAATTATTGTCACAATTAATGGCATTTGAACTTTCACATGCAGCTACTTGTTGATGCCCCTGTAGGACACCCATCAATAATAAACGTTCTAATTTTCGCACAGGAAGAAAATTACGCAATTATTTTGTTGCTCTAAAATGCCTACAGCGCTTAGTGAGAAAAGCTGATTTAGTTCATTGCCGGCATTCTCCACTAACCTTAACGTAACGCCCGGATCTTGCCAAAAGCTGAACACTTCTACCACACCTGCTCCTAGTAAGTTAAAAAAAGAAAAAAAAATTGATGCCACTGCGGAGGTCAACCAGTGAAAAATCAGGAGGTGAACTCTGCCGATTCGGTTCATCTCTGTAGGGGCCCACTGTCTAACCCGAAGATTAATCAATACCACGTGGGGAAGTAGGTGTCGCCCCATCAATGCCCACCCGTGAAGCATGAGACGTGATGACATTGAAAGTGAATTAAGAAGACGTCTGCTTGTACTCTTCCCTGCTTCCCATTCCCAAGTAAATCCAGAGGAGAGGACCAAAATTGTGGTCTTCGGTCTGCTGCTAGACGATATTAAATTGGGGAGTGAAGAGGAATTGGACATATGTCTAAGCATTCTAAGTAACGACGCCCATCTTCTAGCCGCTGTCAAGTCAGTTCTCGTCTCAGCGTCATTCAGTGGAGGCATGGGAGGCCACTTAACAGAGTCAATGTCTCTCAAGGTGATGCAATACTCCAACGCAATCCAGCTACTGGCAAAATTGGGTGTACCAAAAGTGCAGTTCCATGGAGTGCATTGTACAACCTTCTTTGAGGTTGGCCATCATCGCAAAAGTATGTCAGTAGACCTCTACATAAGGCAGTTTCTACCCAAATTTATAAGGAACATTATGAACACTTCGGAGCGTTTTATGCTGTACACCCTTCTCTATCCCATTGCCCTCACCCTATTTCAGCAAAAAAATGCCTTCCAGTGCCAATCCAGAGATCGCATGGTGGCCAGTGTCGTAAAGGGCAGTGTGGAGCTAATTAGACCCCTAAGAAAGGCACCCCCGAACCTGATACCAGAAACCAAGAAGTAAGGCACAATCCCGCAACGTTCAAGCACTTCTCGTGTAATTCAAAATAAAAACAGACATGCTATCATTATTGAGTCCTCTTGATGTGAATGGGGAAAGCTCGTCATTAAAAATGGATCCAAGTGTCTCAGTTGATACCATCATCCTAGTTACCCTTAGAGTCTCCTGATGGATGACAAAATAGGCAAAACAAAAGCCGCAACAGCAACAACGGAGCATCGTCTAGGAATGCATCAATCGAAACTAGTGATGATTGCCCTAGACCAAGAGTGCCACGGTTGAAGTTGTTCGTCACAGTAAGAAGGATAAGGGCTAGACCTAATTAACTTGCGCACACACACACACACACACCACCTATCCTGTCAAGAGGTGGAAGGGGGGTGGGGAGGGAGGAGATTAACGCATCATTCTGTCAACGAGCTATTAAATAAAAAGGAAAAAAGAAGCACTTAATGCAATACCTGAGTAATAAAAACTTCAATTCGGGTGCATTGGTAAAAATAAAACAAAAGCGCCACACGAGCGCCGTAGATATTCGACACATATACAAGGGCATTTGAGGGTTCGAAAGAATCAGAATTTCTTTTCCTCTTTGTTTGTAGAATAATGAGGATGAGAGAAGAAGGGGGGGGGAGAATTTGTTTGGAACATAAGGAAGACCTTTTACGCGAAAGAAGGGGCAAGGGAAGGTGAGAGGAAGAAGTTAATGCAGGGAGGTGTGTGCAAAGCGATGCAAGGCAGAGAGAAAGACTCACACAAGGCGGTGATGGTAAAACAATGTGCTGATTGAGGGTCCGTATTGTCCTCCTCACGTGAAATTAGCATCCAGCAGGTGAAATGGAGTACGGAACGATAGATAACATCTCAAAGGTGGATGCAAGTTAGAAGTGGGATTCACGTGGTCCTTCCTTGCTGGAAGATTTTGACAAGTTCGCACACCCGGGAGTGTCGGTTTGCGTCGCGCTCAATGACCGCGCTGGCGAATTTGGTCTACAAAAGCCATTAAAACCCGATTGAGGTGAAAGTGTAGAGGTAGGGGCATGATAAGTTGATGATTGCAAAAAAGTAGGGGGAAGACTTTAACCACTCACTCCTAGCTTGTGACATCAGGTTGTTTGTAAAAGAAAACAGTACTAATAGGCATCATTTGATTGACAAGTTCACTTTTTTACTGCCTTAAAAGAACTCAAACTGAATTCATAATGCACTAATTGTGGTCTAGCCTTCAAAGCGGCGCTATAATCCCTAAACTAATTTAAAAACAAGGTACAATAAGACAGAATTAGTCGGGTGATAGCTGCCACCAAAATGGAGAGAGGAAAAGGGTCACGCATTCGTTAGTGCAGGTGAGGGTTAAATTAGTGAGTAGGGTGTGTGAAAACAGCAACAACATTGACCACACGCACACACACAGAGAGAGAGCGCGGGAAAGCATGCAAGCAGTAGGCAAGAGAGCGTGCGAGACAACATTGACACACACACACACACACATGAGAGCATTACCCTGCCTTTATCACTTTGAGGTGTAGCATTCTTTTGAGGTGTGGGTCGCAAACGCACAGCTGGATAAGGCTCAGATTCATCCAAAGGCGCAATTTTTGATTTTTGTGACTCAATGCGAGTACGAAGGTTCACTCCCAACGTTGGTGACAATCGAGGCGCCTTCCCACTACCATCTTCCACTTCCACTAGTCTCGAGGGGGGAGGGGTCACCTTTTGCGTGACAATGGGGGTCCGAATAGGAGTAGCGGTTGACGCTGTTGAAAACTCCACAGGCATAGATATCGGCCGATTAGAAACCTTGTGGGATAATTCTTTTACCTGCTCATTGACTTCGAACGCACGATTGTGAGGAGCCTCATCACTAATTGACAACCAGGTGTGTTCTTGGTCCTTCTCTTCATCACCTTGGGACGACATATTCTGACGTGACGTCTCATGATGAAATGTCTCACCTTGCTGTAACGGCTTTGAAGGACTGCTAAACAATGAAGCGATTGTGGAGGCTTGAGTGAGGGATTTGTGTGTGGCATTGATGAAGCGATTTCAATGAAATAGTAAGAAAACAATACAAGGTTTTTTACATTGCCGGTGACCACGTGAAGATGTGACCATATCTACCAAGCACAGTCTGTTGTACTACAAGGTCGCGTAAATTATTTACCGACATTCATGTCATGCAAATGGCATAAAACCATCCATGCAGTGTCGACTATATCACGAACAGGGGTAAGTACTCCTATGCAGTAAAATTGATGAAAGACCTTCAATAAAAAGTACGTCTACAAAAAGCGATGGTTACGAGCAAAGAAACTGCGGCACCCGGTTGGTAATATTACTAGCCAAAGGCGTTAGTATAGGATACATGAAGCAAAGGCACTCAAACATAATAAGTGGTCAAGGCAACAAGGCGCTGTCTGAAAAGGGGGCATATTAAGGAGGATGCGATAACTAAGACACTCCAATTAAGTGGAGTTACGAGAGCGCCAATTTGTAGGTCACAGGCACAAAAATACTAATAATTGTTTTTCAAACGTAGCTTATTAAATTACCTCTAGTTTTATGGCGTGAGCTACTTTATTCAAACCAAATGAGTGCATGCACAAGCCCAATTATCTCCGGGCAACGAGTACAAACAACGCATTCCGCTCTTAAAGTGCGCACGCTGCTTACTTGCTTATGTACTGTAAAAGTGAGTGAACAAATGAACTTCAAATTGCCAGCGGTCTTTTAGTGGATGAGTGAATGACTGACTGTGTGGTGGACAGATTAAATAGTGTAAGCACAGTGCGATAAAACAACTCACACTTCCTTCATTTCTCCAGAACCTTCCTGATCGTCGTCATTAAAACGGATTCTTTCAGCAGTGAAGCTATCATGACTTTCCTGAGAAAGCAGTTTCATTTTTGAGTCGGAGACGTCGGAAGAAATATCACTATTGATAGACGAGGAGGATCGTGGGCTATGTGACACCTCCTCCGCACTACTTTCACATTCCGAGGAAGAAATTTTGACAGAAGTTCTGGGCTTTGGAGAAACCAGCAGCGGCGGAGGCGAGCTACCTCCGTCCTCTTCGCCAATGCAATTGAGAGGAGAAGTAGCGGCTAGGGAACCGATGGAATCACCGGTATCGAGTTGACTTGCGCGTGGTCGATGTTTACGCTGTCGATTAAGGCGGATTCGAAGCCTTGCGCCTTCCATGTAGGAGTCCTGAATCGGAACACCACTGCCTTCTTGACTTCTACGACTAAAAATAACAAAGGATTGACGGGGTAGTTCTACCATTTTACGGCTTTAGCAACCGGAGGTCATAATACACAATAAATCACACATGTAACACGTTATCCGGAAATGAAATACATGTATATCAAAGGACAAGACCGATAACCTTTAGTCATTTTATAACTTTTATATTTTGACACATCCAACTTTTGAGTAGCCGTCGCTTTCGAGCCCTCAGTGCTCGTCATTTTGGACTACATGTGGCAATGAGGGGTACAAAGTGTGACTTTGTAGAAACCGTTCTGCTAACCACAAAGGGAGCATGTGACAAAACTTCTAAGCTGTCTGCCTACTGATTTGTCTGGGGAGGCTCTTAAAATTGCATCACCAGATATTGAGGGTAAAAACGGGTATTCATCATCAGGTCCAAGTCCACCAGATGCCTAGGCTCTTGTCTAGTTTGCTAGTCTTTGTGGAGGTCACTTTGCACACCAGTTCATAGGACTGACCAATCTCCTCGTTACCAGATAAGCATTTTCTTCTATCCAACCCGTCTCCATTGAGTTCACGCAGAAGAGTAGATTTTGCTTTGACATTCACAGCTTCACCCATTGTGCCTACCTCTAGAAAACACACCGTACTAAGCCTTTTTGCCCTTGCACACCCCTGAATGAGCACACGATGATTTCATCCTTTAAACTAGCCTAAAATTCTTCTTTGAAATTCCACCATGATGATTTCATCTAGTGGATCAAACATGTTGGCGACAGAAGGTCATTTGTCTGTGAGCCAGGTTTATAGGGTCACACGCCGTAGAAGTACCTAATCAAGTAGACTACGAACAGCTTACCCTCAGGCAGGACACACGGTTAGAAAAACACTGGTACAACAAGTAGCAAAAGGGCCTACTCGAAGTTTCTTACAAAAACAACAACTTTTTTCTGAAGCAATCACGTGCCTAATTGGAGGCGAGGTCTACAACATGGAAAGGCAAAAAAAACTAAAACCAGTAATTGGGTCAGTGAGCAATGAAAATCTTGAAAATGAAAAGAAAGATTAGTTAACAACTGATGCAACTTGGTAGAAACGAGGGCGAGACTTTGTGATGACCTCCGCAAAAAGGTAAAAATGAGCCTAAACTTTGCAGTGAATGCAAAATTACAAGGTAAAACGGTGAAAGGGGAAATGAACACTAAAAAATGAGAAAGGAATTAATGGACTAAGCGCAGTCACAACATAAACAGGTAAGTTGGCTAAAAGATAGCTAAAACTTGGAAAAAAAGAAGAGCCTAGAATTGGGTATCGTAACTACAGGAAAAAAGCACAATCCTGCAGAGACAAGACAAGGACATTCTCCCACTTTCGAGGTGTGCACAATGTTAAAGTGAGAAGTGAAATGACAAAGTCTCTAACCACGAACCCCACGGTCGAAAACGACCCAGGCGATAAAGAACCAGGAGTAGTGTCACCCGAGGCGATGGACGTGTGCTCTGTCGCCATCATGGGTGAAGTACCGCATCGGCGAGCGCCTCCACGAAAGGGCAATTGAGGTCTGGCATTCAGCTTCGCCGCCAGCTCTTCCTTTAAATAACGGCATAGAAGACGATTATTAGTAAACTAAAACTCTTGAATTAGGTAAGAAGAATGCAGCCAAGCCGGAGCAATTTACACAAAATGCATTAAAGCACCAAAAATAATTATTTTGGAGGGAGGTGGGGAAGACAACTGAATGCACTTTCCCATAAAGGGAGAGAGGAACGAGGTGCTGTTAAAGCAACACACAAAAAAAAACATTCACTGGAAGTAAGACCTCGACGGCATTGAGCAGTTCATCTACCTGTCACGGGAGACAATGTGTCACACTGTATCTGGTTTTCGCATTGCCAATAAAACAACAATTTAAGCAGTGCAACATTTCTTTGTTAAGAATAGCCTCTCAAGGAAGGAGGTCTTGCACAAACACAATATTATAAACACTTCCATTCGAGTGAGATTTGTGTAGAATCAACTCATCGTAGGTTAGCGAGGATGCAATGTTTGATCCATTCAGAAACCCAAAACGGAGCATAAATAAGTGCACAACGACTGAAACACTCAAAATAAACAAAAAGATATAAATACCTGTAGCATAAAAAACAGCATACCAACCACAGAAAAAGACACAACAGGCTGTCAAACACGTCTACCATATCCGATTTGGCCGATGCGGCCTGGGTAGAGACCATCTGTCAACCACGGTGTCACGAAAATAAACACTAAACTGAACCTCGACTTGGCAAAAAAGGCTCCCATTGTATGTATCTTGAAAAATGATGGATTGATTGCCGTTTTTTATTAACTTTTTTAGAAGAACGTGGCAAATAAATAACCCCATTCCGGTTATAAATATGGTTGAAGGAGAAAAAAATAAAAGTGTGTATGCACAAAATGTACGGATAATTTTTCACTCTCTTACCATAAAATCGCTATTCATGGTCCTTTAATGGCTGAGTAAACCACCAGTTGACTTTGGCTAGTGTGTGCAATACACCGCGACGATTGGACTGACTGACGGACTGGCTACTTGGGCTACTTCACAAGCCTAAACGGAGGGTGTTGAAGCATGCACACCCCAACATAGCAACAGCATGCACACACACACACACATACACGCACTGAGGTAACGCGCGATTTAAGCAATGGTATTGGTTAACAACGCGAGCGCATTCGAGCGTACCCTCACTCACACACCCAGCACGCAAGCTCACTAGCACGCACGCACTCACCCACACGCATCACGAATGTTACGGAACAACGTGGATAGACAGACAAGCAGGTAGGTACACTGAGGTAACGCACAACCTTAGCTATGGTATTGGTTGATAATGCGGACGCACGCGAGCATACCCCTCACGCACAAGCTCAGTACCACGCACGCACGCACAGGCATCACAAGGCAGGACGAAGCAGCAGGTGCACAAGTAGATAGACAGACAGGCACGTACGCACACGCACGCACGCACCCACACAGGACTAGTGAGTAGAGCAGACAGGCGAGAGCGTGCAGTGGAAAGCGTTGAGTCAGTTGAAGGGCGTGACGACGTACCCCAACGTGCCTGCGCTGGCGCCTCGGTGAACCGACGCGGCATACGTCTAAGCGTGGATATATGGGATGGACCAGGGCCGAGAAGTGCACTTTTTGGGTACTTAAGGCAGCCAAGATGATCCATTAAAAGGCACAAAGTGCATGGGAAAGCCACCCCAAATAGCAGGAGTAGAAGGGCATGTTATAAATGGATGTCTCACCTCCAACTGTCTCTGGAGTGGCATACCAACGTGCTGATTAAGCAGATCTATGTTGGGTCAGAATTGGTGAAACGCGAACAGCAAACAGGTTAAAATGCCATTGAGGCAGTTTAGAGGATTCGAGCACTAACGAGCACGAACGATAGCACTAGGTTCATGCCAAAACAAGGTGCGGTCAGCTCGACACTTCCAAATGTGCCTGAGACTGCGGGAAAACACGTTGGGGTGTGGCCAAACAAATGAGGGAGGAGGGAAGTGGAATTACAGATGCACTGGAAAGGGGAAACAGAAATACACGCGAGTGGTGCATAAATTATTTGCAATGTGTACCATAATCTAATGCTGTTGTTGCAAATGTCGGTATGTTTATTTAAGTACACGAATGCATTATTCTACGAACCACAAAAAACGCTATTTGGCAAAGGTGATACTTGAGAACGCCGGCTGTCTGTTTTATGGGATTAAAAAGATTAATGTGCCTACTTATTAAGGCACAAGTAGCAATTGACGGATGATCGGAGTCAGTAAATCTACTGCTGCCTAGCGCCCCACAACCACCGAAAAGAACAAATTAATTAGGAAATGATGCCTTTTAATTGGGAGTAACTGCATCAGAGAGCGTAAGACTAACAAAGAAACAAATAAAACCAGGCTTGGAGGTGATAATAAAAACAATCTGAGACCTCCACCAAATGGCATTTCCTGCGTATGCGTGTGTGTGGTCTACCATTCCTCGAAGCGTGCTGATTGTTGTTCGCCAACAACACGAATCGAGATAGCTGCATGGTATTTTCTAAAATTCTTCAAGGTGCCTTAAATCATAACGCAAGCGTAGCATGAATACATCGAAAGCATCGAAGAAGCGAACGGCCTGTCCCAAATATTGAAGATTTGTGAACCCAAAGTTGAAACAGATGAGAGGAGGTAAAAAGAGGAAGCTCATTAAAAATCATCAACTTACCCGAAATCTACTCGGTATGGGAGGTAAACGCCCTGGAGAAGGGTGTGGATGACGTTCAATCAAGTTTCCCACCGAACTGGCGCGATTAACTACCTGATTTTCAGCTCCATTCTCCCTGGAATGATAAAAGACCTTTTAATAGAAGGAACAAAGTGAGGTTTTGCACTGCTCTGACGAAAGACAATGAACAGTGCCTGGCATACAGCGGACACCGATCTTCAAATTTGATGATATTTTGCCAAGTAGGCTAATGAGGAATAAGGGTCTCGCGTGAGCAGGGAGTAATAAACTGATACTTAGCTATTCAGACAAAAAACTAGCAATTCCCACATTTTTCGTGACTTGACAGGAGGAAGTGCAGATAGGAATAAAACAGTCACCGAAATAAGCGGAAAAGTCAGCGATCCCTTTAGATGACCTGGATTTGGGGAGAGGCGATTACTCACAAGTACACGATAAAGTAAAGGCCTTTCAATGCCGACTTTTTCAGTATTACACACAGAAATTATCTGACGAATGACAATACACACGGATTAGTTCCACGGACCTGCAAGGTGGGACAGAGAACACAGGCAGGTCTTAGTAGTGCCCACCTCATTAAATATGCAATAAGACGAAAGCGATCAAGTACGGAAAGTCGGTAACACCAAAAATCAGCAAAAGTAGGATGGCTAAGTTTGTAATTCATGTAAAAACCGCGGAAAAAAGTCCAGTTTATCCCTCCACTTAGTAATGGTGGAGTAAATAAGAGAGATAGGTAAAAAGTTGGATAAGACATTTCCTAAAAAAATAGCGAGATATGTACGACAACTAACTCCATAACTTAAACAAAATTAGCTTCACTAATACCACCGAAGAATGTTTAAATATTTTCGGAATAAAAACAACTTACCAGATAGCAAATAGCGTTAAAATAACTTAAGAGAGCATAATAATGGATTCATCAAAAACCTGATGCAAACAACGCCCGAGTCACGCAATATTTATTTATTTAGGAAGGCATTTAAAATCTTGAGCAGGAGAGTAGTCCGGCGCACCTCAAAACGATACAAGGTTAAGCCCAATCAATGAGTGAGCAAAGAGGGGAAGACTAGGAGCAATCCGTTTTTGGCATAAGTAGTCGACAAATGTATCTATATACGTTTGACTCATTGAATGTCTAAGAAAACCGCTAGAGAAAATGTACCCTATGAATGTCAAATGAATAGTAAATAAGGTGGAGAAGGTGAACTTATGGACCAACTTTGCTAAACAACATAAAAAACATTTAAGAAGTGTTAACATGTTAAAATGTTGATTTAAAATGTTAAGATGGAGTCATCCTGAACATTCAAGTGTAAAAACGAAAATCAAGCCAGTTCAAGTGCGTAAAAAAGCACACACTCCGAGCGCAAGCAGTAGTTAAAATAGTCATTATTAGGATTAGGAAAGTACCAAGATTCTAAAAGAGGGAAATAGGTAAAAATTGCAGAACATAATTCCGCCGTTATGCGATATTTATTTTATGACTCATACATGGGCAGACATCATAGTTAGGTAAAAAAAGTAACACAGTTGTCACCGAATTAAACTTCTAAGACTTAGCAAGTAGATTTACATTAAAGTGAAAGCCTGACCAAAAAAACAGACTACGAAAGAATGTGGGAGCAAACCCTGCAATAGAGTAGAGGCACACAAGCTCGATTACCTTGGATTCTGTGAACAACCGCTCAAATTCGCCAAGTTTGGAAAACCTCTAACTACATCATCCAAGGAACCGTGTGTTTTGGTTTCCCTTGTTGGATGATGATCCCTCCCCAAAGCATGTCGGATATAACGGGCAAACCTGGTAAATGGGCTTTGATGTTTAACTGCTTAAACTGCTTTCAAAGTGAAACTTACCTGCTTTACGCTCATCGCTATGAACCATCACACAATCTCGCTTGCGGATCGCCCAAACTACCAAGACGACTACGAACTCGCTCGTGTAACCGGCACAAACTAACATTACTTTAAACAAAATTTTCTTGTTTTTGCGTATTGATAGATATCTTGGACGAAGATGACAAGACGACAAAAGATTATTAATTTGAATGTTTGCTGATGCAGTTACTTATACTGATAACGAAGATATCACTGATTAAGTTAATGGGAGCTGCTCTCCAGCCGATATCAATAAATACAGACTACCTCACTGAACTGTGTAAAATCTATTCCCCATGAATCGACAGGATTTGCCGGTGCAACCCCCCTTACCCTGCCTGGTCTTTAATGCGCCAATGACCACCCCCAAACTATGTGAGAACTCGGAGCCCACGCAACACACGAAGCCCAGCCAACCAAAGAGAACCTGGGTGCAAAGCACTACCCACACACTAGCCAGTAGCCTTAGCTGTGCAGCGCCTGCTAGGTGGACACTTATCAGCAACTCTTATTTACAAAACCAAGAAGTGGCGTATCTAAATGTCATCCCCAGATTCTTCTGAATGTGGCTCGACAGACTCATTCGTATTTGCAAGGTCCAATTTTCGCTTCTTTGAGCGCCTCATCTCCATTCGTTTTTGGCGTTTGTCACTTGCACGAATAACCTGTAAAACAGAAAAAATATGCTCCGCTTTACCTTACACCACATTTGCAAGACAATAGAATACGCTTCAATGCGAGCCTACAATAAGTTTCATACAAACTAAAGACTTCCCACTAGCATAAAAATCGACGCCTGATTCGCTATCAACACTCACCGATTTTGCATGAGCAGCGGCTTCGGCGACTTTACTAAGTAGTTGAGGATCTGTTTTGCAGGGATCAACCCAAGCCAGTTGTGTAATTTGGTAACCCAGAGTAGACTCAATAATTTTTAGACGAGTGACAGAATAGGGAGTGACGAGAGATACAGCTCGACCCGGACGTCCAGCACGCGCCGTTCGACCCACGCGGTGAATGTAGTCCTTTGCAGCCTCGCTCCATGAAGCAGGATGACTTGGAATATCATAGTTGATAACCAACTGTACTTCGGGAATATCAAGACCTCTAAAGGAAAGAAGCACCTCACTCAGAAGAGCAAAATCAGACAGGAAAGTAAATAATTAATTCACTACCTGGAGGCTAAATCGGTGGCAACCATAACGCTGGCTTCACCCGATTTAAACTTTTGAAACGCAACTCCACGTTTATCTTGGCGCATCAAACCGTTCAGAATGACGACACGGTCCCTACTGGTAATGAACCTGAGGATTTCACCCAGGCGAACTGATTCTCGAGCAGTAGCAACGAATACAATCGTCCGTGACTCACAGGTCTGAGAGAGCAAATGAAAACGACAAGAATACATGAGAAAGGAGGAAATTTACTTTTTTGGCACAACAAAATTCGTTGCGAACGTTTTTGTACTCAAGAATGTGTTAAATACAAAGTTTGAGGCTTACGCTCCCACAAAGATCTGCCAATAGCTTCACTACATAAGCATCTTTCCGCTGATCTGGTAGGAATACAAATGCATGGTCCAGATTATCGACAGTTGTATATTTCTTCGCGGTTTCCAAACGCACAGGCATTCGAAGGCAGGCAGTTTGCAGCTTCTCGAGCTACGAAAAAGTCATACTAATATTGCTGACTCACATTTCCGGACATAGTAGCTGAAAAAAGGTAAGTTTTGCGCTTCTCTGGCAGCTTGGACAAAATGGTTTCTAATTGCGAGTCAAAATTTCCACCGAGCATTCGGTCGGCTTCATCCAAAACGAAATAGCGAATTCGTTGAAGACATAATTCCTTCGAATTCTCAATGTGATAGACTATTCTTCCAGGTGTACCAACAATTATGTGGTGTTTCGTATTCTTCAAGACCTTATGCTGATCTTCAACGTGCTGGCCACCAACAAGACACAGAACTTTAAGCCCAAATTTGGAACCGATATCCAGAAAATGCTGCCTTATTTGAAGGGCAAGTTCTCGTGTTGGAGTTAGAATAAGAGCGTAATTATAGTGTGGTTTTCTCAAGAGATTCTGAAACAGCAAATAACGAAAATGGACCCTACTTGGAGGATTGGGATCGCAAATGCTCCCGTTTTACCACTACCAGTTTCGGCTAAGCCGACAATATCTTTGCCTTGCAACGCAAAAGGAATAACCTTAAACTGAATATCTGTAGGCTTCTTCCAACCCAAGCCTTTGCAAGTATCACAAAGTTCTTCGCACACACCCTTTAAAGTGTAAATTTACATCAAAATAAACTCACTAGGCACGCAAAAGATGACATATCCCCTCCTCCTAGATTAAAGATGAACGTGTTTACACCGAAATAGGTTCGAAACAGATAAGAAACAATGCTGAAACAACTTGAATGCAATTAACAGTCCTTCAATTTAGTTAGAAGTAAAAAGAGTAAATTAACAATATCGCACAAATGGACAAGTGTGTAGTCGCAATCAAACATAAAACAAAGATACCTAAAGGCATAGGTGATGCATATTAAATACACATGAAATAATATAACCAGGTAATGACCCACAACACGAATAACGGGTACAGGGGGGAAACGTGATCAGAACCCTTTCTTGGTATTCGCCAAACTCGCAGCACGGTAAAACAATGAGTAGAAAAGCTTTATATCCAGTCGAGATCCTTCAAAAAGCACCTTTAAAATAGCGGAAAATAGAGTGTTTAGTAGGTTGCAGTGCCTATCACACCAATTTGTTGAGTAAAAAGTCGCCTATATATGAGATCGTTTCCGACTGAAAAACCCAACAAAAGTATCTTTGCAAATGACTTGAAAATATTGACTACTTTGAATTACCAAAGAAGCGGCTCTCCGTGTTAGATAATTTTAATTTGCACAGTGAATACGTGTTAGCCCAGCAGCAACTATTTAGCATTCCGCTCAGATCATTCAATGTTTTGGTTAACTGCGCAGGTTTATTAGCCTCCATATTATCTCCGTGCTTCAGAAGTCACGGCTGGTAGGCTATCATCTCTCCTTTTTGGCAAAAAATTGCTCCTACTTGATTGCGGACGCAGGAAATTCTATAATATCATGTTATCAGACGAAATTACCAGTTGTGGAGACTTAAAAATCCCTATGATTAGATGTAAATCTGGACAAATGTCAAATTATTAAAGGGTTTTCTTCTGCACTCGTCACACCTTAGTGGAATCTTTAGGAACCAAGACTGTTGTTAACGGTTGTCATGAGACAGGGATGTATTCGATTCCAACTTCTGTGATGCATTCCCTGCTTTAACCCTACCATTAAATTTGTTCTTGCTGCAAAATGCATAGGAGGAGAGCAACTCACTAACGACTGCTCATTTTCATACTACTGGAGCTTCATATATACATCTTCTTTGAAACAGATCCCTCTAATTGACGACATTGTTTTAAGCTGCTTAAGGGGGCGAGTACTCTGCACTCATTCTTTTTGTCACCCTCTTTTTATGTCAGAGTTTTCTAAATGTCCACCTGTTACCCATTCTGCGATTAGGGATATGGAGGTAGTAACGTAGTCAACTATATGCCGGAATTTTCTAAATTACTCGACATCATTTCACTAGCCTTTGTGCCTCTTGCAGGATACAAGCTTGGCGTCATTGCTTAGGGCGGGCGCAAGACCCCTTCCGCTCGCAGTCAACGCAGTTTCAGCCACCCGCCTTAATTCCCCTTTGTCTGTGGCTGAATGGGATTCACCTCCACAGTACGGAAGCGAAATCACCACCAAGGTTTATTCGGCAAAGCGCACTGTCCCAGCAGCTGGTACACTTAACAACTCTCTCATCCCCCTACCTCTCCACTAGACCGCCCCAATCGGCATGCATCATTCTGCGTTAGCATCTACCAATCTTCGTGAAATATTTAGAAAACATCGACTTCTCGCTACCCAAGACCACATTCTTCCTACGCCTGACACAATCGAACGGCGGACAGGAACGCTGCACATCCACTCAGGAAAACGACCACACAGCGCCTGGATTAGGTTGTAGAATGGGCGTACCCAGTTCCACCACTTTGGCAGCCACCTTTTCAACAATCTGTGGGCTCCTCGTGCATCTCGCACCCGCATTAGTTGCACAGCAACCGCTCTGCGCAGTACTAAAAGGGTAAGAGACCTAGCAGTGCTGTAAAAACACTGCGGTCTCTCAACCTTGACACAGAGAGGTACCCCAACCTCACCATTGCCCCCTTCACTAGGCCCTTCCCCTGACGATAGAAAGAGGCACACAAGTGCCTTGAACATTTCAGACGATGATCAATGAAAAGGCAAAAGGAGGCACCAGTTACTACTGCTTAACTTAGCAGAGTAAAACAAATGCTTGTAAAGGTTCACCTTTTCTTCGCTCATTGGCGTGGCTTACGCACGTTAGTAGGAGCTGCACTAGAAGGAGGAGTCGCAACAGAAGGCACACAGCTGCCATCAGTAGTCGCTTGTGCCGCAGGTTTGGTTGATTTAACCTCATTTTGAGGTAGCTTTACATTTCCTGATGCCTTCGTGGAAGAAGGCGATTTGGCGTTGCCAGTTGTGGCCACTTTGCTCTCGGCCTTGTCCTCCAGAGACATCTTTGCTACCGAATCAGCCACATCACCTTTCTGCTGATCAATCGGCGCAGTATGGACAAACGGGATTTTCTCCTTAAGAGCTACAGAAGAACACATAAGAGGACTTTATCTTCACGCAGCTACATAAGTGACAACGAATGGCTTGTCAAAGTCGTACCCTCAGGCATGAACTCGCGAATCGCCTCCGGCACAACAATACCATCGGTGGTCTGATAGTTCTCCAAGATAGCACAAATCACCCTAGTAGTTGCACACATGGTAGCGTTCAACATGTGCACATACTCGACCTAAAGCACGGAGTCACTTCAACGGAGTTGTACATACATTAACGTACTTCGGTTAATACAAAAAAATATCTTTAATTTGCCAATAAATAAACACCTCACCTCCCTGCCCATCTTTTTGGTCTGCCCAAAGCGAATGCCAAGACGACGAGACTGATAGTCAGTGCAGTTGCTGCAAGAGACAAGTTCACGGAAGGCTTTTGAGCCCGGATACCAGCCCTCCAGATCGTACTTCATTGCAGCTGCATTGTTAAGCTCACCCGAAACGATAGACACTACTCGATATGGAATCCCCAGAATCTAGATAGAGGAAATGAAGTAAAGTCGAGTTTAGGTCGCGTGCACACACATTAATTAAGCCGCTTAAGAAAACACAGAAGTCGCTCCAAGGCAACCTCACCTCAAAGAAACTTTCAGCGGTGGAAATCATCTCGTCGAACATCTCCCAAGAGGCGTTGTCGTATGGTGAAGTGATACAAAACTGTTCAACCTAGAAATAAACGCGTCCAAGAGCCGGTTAAAAGGCATTAATGAATTACGGATAAAAAGTAGAAAAGACAAACGATAAAATGTGGAATAATCGAACAAGTGCTTCAATAAACGAACCTTTTCAAATTGATGAACACGGAAGATGCCACGGGTGTCACGGCCGTGACTTCCCACCTCCTGCCTAAAGCAAGTGGAAATGCCGGCATATCGAAGGGGCAGATCCGCAGGAGACACCCATTCACCACGATGATATGCCGCAATCGGTTGTTCCGATGTCGCAATCAGATATTTTACCTCTTCTTCAGCGTCGTTACTACGATCACCAATGGCTTCACGCTTGCCTATCACTTTGTACAATTCCTCATCGAATTGAGATAGCTGTGCCACTTCTTGCATCACCTCCTTACGCATGAAAAACGGTGTGTAGAGGGGTACATATTTGCGCTCATACAGCATCCTTAGAGCCAGGTTAATAATAGCCTGCTCCAAAAACACCAAAGGTCCCTAAAACAATTACGATAAAATAGTTCACTTGAACAGGTCACCAGAATATCTGCCACTAATCAGAGCCTAAAATTACCTTCAAAAAGTAGCACCGATTACCAGATATAGCTGTTCCGCGATCGCCATCATATCCGTCCACCATTTGGACCAAATCCACATGTGAATATTGTTTTACGACCGAGGCATCCCCAAACGTGCGAATGACTTTATTGTTTTCCTACGCTAACTATGAGGTAAGGTGGAGACAATCACCTCATCGTCAGATATAGGAACCTCGGGATGTAAAATATTTCCAATTTCATAAACCAGGTCGTTTCTTGACTTCTCCAATTCATCCGAAAGCTTCTGTTGTTTTTTTATTGTTTCATCAATACAGATCGTCAATGTTTTAATTTGACAAATATTTAGGCCCTAAAATTGCGGAGCAAAATGAATCGCATCATACGTCAATTTGTTCCTGAGTAATTTCAATTATGTTTTCCATGATCTCAGAAGGAAGCACAGAATCACTACCCGCCAATTCCTTTGCCTATGGGGAAGATGAAAACAGTTATCCATGCACCTTCATCTTCTTCCCGATAGTTTTGCTGCACATGTTCTTTGAGCGATTTAAACGATCACACGCAGAACGTGCTATGTAAAAAAATCTTGACGAGGAGCGCATATAAACCTTTACGCCACTGTTCATCGAGATCAATTATTTTGTCAACAGCCTCTGGGTTCTTGTACCGATTCCTTTCATTTTTTCGTAGTAAATCAGGATCACCTCCCTTATCGGTTCTGAAAAGATCAAGCGATAGAACCATTACAACGCCACGTCTGTACAGACACCAGCAAGACGACACTCCCACCACAAAGTAAAAGCCAATGGGAGGAAAGTATTGCATAAATTAAATATCTTGGTAAAAAATGGACATTTCAGCGCTATAAAAGCGTTCTATGATTTAAATCTAGAAGCCTTAATTTTTTTCGCTGTTTGTGTTTGCCATTCCTGATATTTATTATTTATCGCGTTTATTTGCTCACTTTTGAGGACTCGCTCCCCTTATTATGCTTTGAACATCTTAGTATATGATACCCAAATTTTGTTTGCCTTTTGCTCTTCCTACACCTTGTGCATGTAAGTTAATTCACGTCTTGAATTTATATTTGATGCCGTAATATGCTAATAAATTGCGGTAGAATCAGGATTTTGACCCACAAATATGTTTGAGGTGGTACAATGTCTTTCAAATATTAGGTCAAAAAGCAAATGCATGTCCTACAGTATCTGACTAAATTCTGGCCAATACGTCCATTAAGATGCCTTTTTTAACAGCTTCATTATTAATTTAAGTCCTAAACTTAAGACTTGCATGTTTTTTGCCTTCGCAAAGTGCTTCTGGAGCGTTGAGGATATATCGTTAGTGCATATGTGTACCGAATTGCCGAATTCACTTTCTTAGGCTTATATATAACTTGGAATGACCTCCGGAGCGACTTTATAGCTTGCTAAACTGAATAAAGGTATAAACAAAAGTAGATTTGTATTGGAGTTGCCAGCGCAAATGCGCGATGAACGCTCGAATTGTGTGCGCTTAGCGCGTGTGTTGCTTCTAAACATATGGTGCTGCCTTAAGGGCGTAGTAAACAATACCCTCAGGTCTCCAGTGCGATTCAGAATTAGTAAATGTATCCCCTGCAAGCATAGCGTGTGCACGCTTATGTGACCAAGTTGAAGATCTAACGATGAATTACTTAATTTCCCTTATAAACGTCTGGATGGTTATTATAACTCTGCTCCCACACACAGGTGAGTGATTAGAAAACTCTTCAAGTTGTGAATTTGGCAAGAGAACAGCGATTGTGCGTAAACATTGTTTAATGCCTCGAAGCTATTGTCAAATGCCAGAAACCTTTCACTTGTAGGTATTTTTATGCGTTTTTTACCGCATTTGGAAGCGGCAGAACTTTTGGAGATATATGAGCTGGTCATTCTTATAAAGACTTGGGTAAAATAGCAGGAACTAAAAAAATTTGTTATATTGCAATGTTATTAATAGAAGATGAAGCAAAAACCTAGCGAATTCATAATATAACCAAATTTATCAGGCATATGAACTTGTATTAAAAATATACGATGTAAAGTTACGCAAAAACTAGTAATAGTTTGAAAGTTATTATTTGCAGCCATCAATAAGGCAGTAGGATGAGAGTGCCATCTTTTCGGGCAAAATTCTTAATTTTTCTGAAGTTGATCTCTCACTACTTAAGCACTTATTTGTGCTCCCTTGTACCTCCACTAGCATCAGGTCTGGCCTGTTATGTGTGCGTTTCAATTAATGGAAGTAATCCGAGCTGTGAAGACCCAATGGATGGATCTGTACCTGTCGAGGCACCCTGTCGACAAGGAAGATCAGGACACGAGGGTTTGAGTTACGCACGTTATTGCGTCAAGATCAAGGGTCAACGAGTAAGCGACGGCCGGCAAATCTGTATTCGACGTTGTTCAATGCAGAAATTGGGAGGGATTCACACACATTGTGGGCAGTTTCTTTTATCGGATGAACTGTACCACGGATGCATTTCTACCTGCACACAAAATTGGTGTAATACTGCTCCGAAATACTCAAATTTATGCCTCACTACACTTTTTTATGTTACCTCGCTATTTGTTTTTTGCATTAAATAAATTTTTAAGATTTTAAAGCAAAATAACGTTCTCCTGAGTTGTTTGGATGCACGAATCACTAGGACGGATATTACGTATGCACCTCGGAATAAACTTCCAAACCACTTAAAGTTCCGGCAGTTAATTTTTAAGTTGTTAAAATTTTTAATAACTTTTATAAAGACTTTTTTAGCATCCCGAGACTCCCTTAAGACGAAATAAGACACAATACTCGGGCAGAATATATATTCAGCGCAGAGAATGTGTCTGGGCCATTGGCGTAGCCCAAAAGGCCAGCCCACCCAGCGAGGTACAAGGGACCTGATTCGAAGTACAAAAGCGGCGCCTCATTAGAGCCGAGGGATAAACCACTATCGTATTACGCTTTAGGTCATGTAAACCCTTAAATACGAACTTTGCGCTGATAAATTTGCAGTCCATTTTATCATTTAATTTTTTAAATATTAATTTTTAAAGTATAGTTTTTAATTTTTAAAAAAAATGCAACAATTGTTGCAAACTATATGTGGTGCTTTAGGTGTCTCCTCTTCTTTTTTAATGGGTGTGTCAAGGTCGCGGTCTGTTTGGTCATTTAGACAATGACGTCCCGAATACCTTTCAAAAATGATGGCAGTTTTATGGAGATTTTTAAGCAACTTCAAGGTAGGACTTTTTAGCATAATTTTGCCACAGCTGAACAGGATCTGGCAAACATCAGCGCAAATGTTGATGTTGGTACTCCAGCGGTATGTTATATACCAATCGCTAATATTCTTAGACTAACAAGAATACATTTTCAATCTTGGACGCGTAAGTAGATTCGTTCTTGCATTTTTTGAAGTCCATTCTCTTTAGATGTGGTTCTTCCTAAAGGTAGAGGTTTTCTGTTTTATGATGCTTTAAATAAAAAGCCATATCCTGGTCTAATCGTAGTATTTCCAGTGTTGCCTCCCGAAGATCAAAAAGCCATCATTGCGATTGAAAGCCTGATCATGCGTCTTGTTGGCTTACCCCAGTCATTAGCAAAATTGGAGGTCGCCAAATTTGAGGACAGCGTGCAATACTGGTGCGACTGATTTCAGTACTGATAAAATAGGTTTCTTACCGTTCCGGACTCGGTTGAATGCAAATATTTGCAAAAAAGGTTGCAAGAAGAGCTTATTAAGAGATCGAAGACCTCGGTCGAAGGTAGCAATTTCTTGCCTAATAATCGTTGATTTGTTAGAGGAGATTGAGGCGTGTAAGGTGGACTATAAGCTCTCCGACATTCAGCTTCCCCCTGAAAAACCTCCTGCAAGAACTGTCTCTCCTAAGGCATGCGATGTTTATGCGAATGTTACGAAATCGGAGCCCTCGTCTTTAAAGCCGCTGGAGATACCTGCTCCTACACGAAAAAGGAAATCTAGGTGGGACACCGAACAGACGGCCAAATCTGAAGGCCTGAGTGAGCTTTCCCACAATGAAGTTTTGGCGTCCGCCGTTGCAGCAGCAAAGGCTGCTGCTCAGTTAGCAGCATCAAGTTAGTTCGAGTAATAGCTCTCTCTGAGTGCTTTTCTCGCGATTTACCACTAATTTTATCTCTTTTTGTACCTCTCCTCCATGTTCAGTTCTTTCACGTAATAGATTTGATGAATTTCCTGTTTCTCCCTTTTAGACAATAAGCCCGCTCAAACGATTTGCTCTAATGTACGACAACTTACTGGTGGAGCTGTTCTCAGTGATGAACAAGTTAAACAGATTCAATATCAAAAAGAAGTGAGCCTCCTCTGTTGTCGCTACTTTTGAAGTCTAACTCTGGCTTTTTGATCATTTGCTTTTCGTGTTCAGCTTCAGGCCATGCATGAGTTCATATTAGCTCAGCAGCGCCTGAAGATGCAGGAGCAACAGCTGATGGAGTCGATTGAGGGAGTAAATTACTCAAAAAAGCCAAGGAAAACTGTTGATGGCCTAGAAGTCAAGTACGAGTATGATTCCGATGAGGATTGTGAAGGTGGCACTTGGGAGCATAAACTCAGAGCTGCAGAAATGGAAGCCACTCGGGGTATTCATTCATTCATCATCTTTTACCTCTACTGCTATTAACTGAACGTCTATATTCGGCCTCTTTGACCCCTAGACTGGGCGGAAAAGTTGACTGAGATGGGACAAGGAAAACACCACATAGGCGACTTCTTGCCACCCGATGAACTGGAACGTTTCATGGAAACCTATCGTGTAGGCTACTGTACCTAGTAGACTGCATCATTTGTGCGCTTTCGACTTATCTATTCCCCATTCAGGCTCTTAAGGAGGGTCGTGAGCCCGACTACAGCGAGTATAAACAATTTAAGCTCACCTGTGAGAACGTTGGTTTCCAAATGCTTGAGAAAATGGGCTGGAAAGAGGGCGAGGGTCTTGGTGTCTCCGGTCAGGGTATCGTCAATCCTGTCAGCAAGTAGGTTAAAGTCTGAATAATTGGGCCCTGTTCCAGAGTTTGGTTTTGTTGACTAGTTAACTATTTAGCAACTACATTAATAATGGTACTATTTGCAGTCTGCAGGTTCAGAAATTACTGACTGCTTAGCTCTTTTCCTCCCCATTTTTTTTTCATTTTTAATGCATCGTTTATTCCAGGGGTAATGTTCACGTGGAAGGTGTTGGTCTTGGGGTGGAGAGATCATCCAATCTTACCGTCGAAGATGATGAGTTCGAGGCCTATCGGAAGCGGATGATGCTGGCCTATCGGTTTCGTCCTAATCCGTTGGTATGTCTCACCTACATAGTACCATCTTCTCTCCTAGTGGATTACTAAGCTTCTTGGCTCTTGTGCTTCCTTCTATTTTAGAACAATCCGCGCCGAGATTACTACTAGCTTGACGTCGTTGATTTTGCACATTATTCATAAGGCTTTAATCCATGTACCTCTGTCGTCCCCTTGTGAACAGTACCGCTTGTGCACATATTTCGTTCCCTCCAATAAAGTACCCTTGCCAATCCACTTTTTTTTCTCTTAATGCTCTTACTAGTTACTTTTCCTCTGATGGATACCGCTTTTTGCTACCCTCTTCGGGGACGTCTGCCACCGCCGTGTTTTTCCCTTCTCCCCTCCCTCGTCCTCAATGGCCAAATCTAACGCCTTTTTGCTTAATTGCTATGTAATTGCCGGCCTATTTGATGTTTTAGAAGGCATGTCAAGCATTGTGAGTGACGATGTTGGGTCAGACATCAGCGTACAGTATTGCTGTCAGAAGTGCAAGAGACCCTTGGATCTGGCCTCGGATTTCGGAAATTTTCGCACCTCCGATCTTTCTAGTGCCGTTGGTGTGTTTACTTACTGTTATACATTGGTATTCTCAGAGAATAGGTCCTCTTCATAGGATGTTTAGAATGTTCTAGGATGTTATTTTAGAAGGAAAACTGTAGTAACATTTCTTGAATTTGTCTTTACCATTTCACAAGCCTCAGTAAGAAGTTGATTGCTTGGATAACTTTATAATCTAGAGATTGTGATACCTCATATTTTTTCTCTCTTTCAAGGCTACGAATACAATTCGTGAGTTAAGCCTTTGATGTTATTTTTACTTCCTACTTATTATCTCTTCAAAGTTCAATCGTTTACGAGTTCATTATAGGGGCTCTTCATCTCCGACCTACTCTCCCACCTCTAGTTTGGATCACCGACTCCAGGTAAGTAACTTTGAGGAGAGTGTACCCCCACTTTTCCCCGAAGATGACAAACACCATTCTGCAGACCACACTAAACTCTGCACCTCTGTTATCTACGCGTTGGCAGCTGTCCTCCCTCTCATTTGTCAGCCCTTTAAGTCTGGTCGGTTTGATCTTTGACCCTGCAGGTAAATGCTTACCTTTCCGACATCATCAACGGTCGAGCTGAAACCGATCATCCAATGTGTCAGGAGTGTGCTGACACTCTAATTAGCACTCAGCAACAACTGCTTGATTTTCAGAAGGAGGAGATTGTCTGTCTCGAGTAAGTTCCCATTTTTATCACCTATTTGATGCTTGAAGTGAAAGAGAATGCCTCCCAAATCCTACCCCTTTGGTAGGTCCTTACTCGAGCAGTTGAAAGCAAACACAACTGAGAGAAGTGGTGTAAGCACGAATGTCACACATACTGCTGAGCAAATGTTTTCAATCTCTCAACGATCGAGGCAAACCTCCTCGTTGTCGGCAGTACGTTTTTCAACTCCTTTGTATGGTTTACTTCTGTTTGTAAATTAACATCGCCTCGGGGTGTTGGGTTCAAATTTTAGACAAATTCCCCTAACGAGGATTCACCAAATCCATTGGAGACCTCTTCGTTTGAGGTCGATGAAGATGGGTCATTCCGAGAGCCGCTATATGCCACGGGAGATAGCCCAGCGGAGGCTGAAGAAGGGAATGTAACTACCAAGGCAGAGTTGCACTGCACTCAGGAGGAACTGGTTTCTCTTCGCCAAGAATTCGTCCGCCTTCAACACCAATCTCGACTGCTGGATAAACAAATTGCCACGAATGAGGCTGCACTGCTCGTTCGCCAAGCTGAGCTTGATCGGTTCGTCAAATGGAGTGGCTTTTTTTCGCTATCTGTTGAACTGCAATCACAGTCAAGTGATCTTTATGTTTCTTGCTTAGAATAACCAATGAATACAACGAGCAACGCCTAACACTGATGCAGGCGGAGGAGTCACTGGGTGTCCTTGACGCCCGTCTCAATGATGCTCGATATCAGTACGAGCGGCTTCGGCGCACCAACGTCCTCAACGCCGCTTTCCCTATCTGGTACGACGGACACATTGGCGTCATAAATGGCCTTCATTTGGGTCGGTTAGCGTCGAAACCGGTGAGTGTCTTCCCGGGTCACCCAGTTTGCCTTGTTTGTTTTAAAACTGGGGCGGTTGGTCTGTGATGGCGGCTGGTGTTACGCTTGATACGGCCTTCGGGGCAGTGTTTGTCAGCGCGTTGCTTCAAATGACAGAATCATCACCTTCGGTGTTGCTTACCAAGCCCCTTTAGTGGGCGAGATGTGAAGGTTTCTCAGAGTGCAACGAGACCCCTTCCTCCAGCGCCCACTGTCTTCTAGGGAAAAAAACATCCACGCTGCGATTATTTGTAGGCTATTCGAGGACTCTTTCTCATTGCAACAGTATCTACCTCCTCCTCTCGCATCCTTTTTTTCCTCCTTAGATAACGTGGCCGGAAATAAACGGAGCCCTGGGACAGTGCGCCATGCTGGTAACCTGCCTTGCCAAGAAGCTCTCCTATACCTTTAAAAAGTAAATTCACTTAATTCTTCCTCTCTCTCTCCCACACAAATGACCTAATCGGCGGTCTTCTTTCCAGCTATGTGATAATTCCGATGGGCAGTCAGTCCAAGATTGCTGCCTTGCCGAATGGGACTCCACTACCTCTCTACAATTCTCCGGGCAGTATGCGATTATTCAGCAGCGCAAGGTGAGCTCTATTTTGGAACCCCTCCTCGCCAATTGTGAGGGAATGCCTTGAGCTAACATAACTCAAGATCCTCCCATTGTCACGACATAGTCAGGCACATTAACACGACTGACGCGAGTCTCTTCTGCATGAATGTGGTGGAGTCTCAGGCAGACGTCTGTGCAGCCACGCGTTGATGCCACACCCTGTATAAACATTTGGCTTCTTTTGTACCTCACAGCTTTGACAACGCACTGGTGATGCTTCTCGACTGCGTTGGTCAGCTTCAGGCACGAGTTGAACGTCCGCCATTTTTCCATCTGCCTTTTAAAATCCTCGATGGTGGCCGCATTGAGGACAGAAACGGATCTGTCTTTTCCATCAAGTGAGTTGTAACTGTTCCGTGTGGCCTCCACTCCCACGCCGTCGTTCTGACACACGCAGTGGCACTCACTTGGCCATTTATCCTTCTCAGGTGTTCCACCACTACTGATGAGAACTGGACTAAGGCGTTGAAAATGCTTCTGATGGATCTCAAGTACCTAATCGCCGCCACAGTCGGTAGACCTGACCGCTCCACCTCCAAAGCGCAGGCAGGCCACTGACCCCTCCCCAACGACCGCCTTTGTACCTTGGACCTGTGCATAGGAGATCGAGTAAAGTCTATTTTTGCATCCAAAACAACTTCGAATGTGCACCTCTGGAGACCGCATTTGTGAGTTGTTCTTCTTAAAAAGGGCAGAAATGATGTTAATTTAAAGCATGTATATATATATATATTCAATTTATACAGATCCATGGACACACAAGGCACGTGGGAGGACAGAATATTTTAAAAATAACAAGCAACCAAATCGTTATTAACTACAACTTTTTGTGGCTTAGTTCAAGTAAAAGAAATATTATCCAACAGTAGTAATCGTTAGGAAATATTAGTACACAGCCGGAGGTACTCTTTAAACAGAGCTGCATTGAATGCGGTTAGGTAGAGAGGGGGGGCAGGCGAAATGGGGGGGGGAGTGGCGCGAGAATTTTGGCGTGGCTATGCGCTTGTAGGAAAAAAAGGAAGAACAAGCTAAACACTGTACAATCTGCACCGACAAGGAAACAGATACCCTGAAAGCGGAGCGGAAGCTACTGCAGAATCGAGCATGACTGTGTGGGAGCGGGAAGGAAGACGGCTCGAGGTTCGGCAACTTCACTTTCAAGAGGAGTCTTTGTCGGCGCGGGAACATGATCAATCATTAGGGGACCACCGCCATCAAATTCACTCCCCGATTCGTCAGACGGAAATACGAGCGGGAATCCGTTCACCGGCGGTGCCGTCTTAAGTTCACTTTCACTCCGTACGGCCTTCATTTTGGAGCTTGAGGGCTTTTCATAGTTCATAAGGTCTGCACTACTGCTGTCAAATACGTCATCATCGCTTGCGTCATCGTCAACTTCATTGAGCGCTTGTGCCGCGCGCATTCGTGCCATCGCTAGGGCCTCCTCAATGGCCTTTTTATATACAGTCTGTTTTTTCATTCGACGTTTGTCCACCTTCCTATCATCCTCAGCAAGGAATGGGGAGATTTTTTCACAAGGAAAGTGGGAGATTTGGTTCCATGCAACCCATCGCACGCAAGCCATACAAGAGGAGGTGGAACGATGAAGGCTGATTATACGCGCAGGCCACCACGGCCAGCCAGAGAGTTTGCACCACACCACATCGTCAATTCGGAATGTTACCGAAGGATTCGAGGGAAGCCGATATCGTTTTACCGAGCGCTCATTGCCCGAGGGAACGTCCTGATGCTGAGGTGATATTGGCCCAGTCACTTCAGATAGCGGGGAATTCGAGGACGGTGGCTCTGTTGTCGAGGGATCTTTGTTGGAAAGGAGAGGGGAGTTCTGTCGATGCGAGCACAACACAGGATCACTGATCGAGGCGTTAGGTACGTCGTGCACAACCACCTAATTAGAAGAGGGACGAAGTAGTGATAGTTGACAGCTATCACTCGCAAGTATCTCATTGTACCTAAACCCGGAGAGTAGGTACTCACCTTGCTCGCCCTAGCGACGGCTAGTCAAATTAGCGCAGGAGCTACCCAATAAAAAGGTTGTTTCGTATCGAAGAAAATGGGCTCATGAAAACAAAAAACGACTCCTCGTTGTTTTATTACACAGCTCAATTAATGTAGAGCCTGTATAAAGAGCAGAGAAGCCGTTCTACGGGCTCAGTTGATAACTTTGAGCTCAGCACTCCTTTTCGGGAGCCATCAGTATTGACAGCTCCGTGCTGGAAATTCGGTAATAGTACTTTAAATAGTCAGATTGCTTCGTTCCTATCAAAGCATGCTTTTCCAAAATAGCGTCATTATTTAAATAAAAAGGAAGTTATTTCGCAAAACAACCTTAAAAGGATAAACCCGACTCTCGAGGAGTTACTCCGTGCTTAGCATGCAAAAAAAGTACAGCAGTAAGTCGTATCTAAGTCTTTATCCAAAAAGGAGGAGAACCAACAAACTCTATCCGTAAGACTGAACTGACTAACTCGGTATTCACTTAGCATATCTGAGGCTTTGCCTTGATCAGAGTCATTGCCTCCATCGGTTGAGATAAGGGATCGGTTAATTTTGATTTTTATTGGAGGTATGGGGGGTTCAGATCCAGGGGGCTTTTCTGACTCGTTTTTCTCTGAATCCACTGCATGGGAGGGCCCTGCTTGCATTCCGTTAACACGCTTTGTCAGAGAAGTTTGACGATCACGATGCCTTGATTTTTCGTGCGAACTCTTACGGTGATCAGGCGCGGACGTAGTGGTTGTGGTTGATCTAGAAGAGCCCTCATGCACTGAAAACTTGTGGCCCATAGAGCTCCTACGGTGTTTGATTAAATCCTTGGGACAAGCTGCATCAACGTTTTCTTTGTGTTTTTTCACTGACAAAACCTGTACAACTGAGGCTGATGGGATCGATTCCTCTATGACTTCGGATTTTTTCAAAATTGACGGGAGCAACTCATCAGCATGTTTGAGCCTTTTGACTTTTACGTGTTCGGTTTTACCGACCTCCTCTAAACGACGCTTTTTAATGGAAGGAGTCGTTTTGCTTTCCGCCTGTGCATTGTCTAGTTGGTCACCTCGTTTATTTGGTCTGGTGGAGGAGACATGCTCTTGAGTGGAATCAGAAGGGTTAGGATTTGGAGAGACGAGGGCTTTCTTGCAATTAGGGCACAGTGGATTTTCAACAATAGAACGAGAGTGAGAAGACCGGAAGACGGCACGGGAATGGGGCTGAGACGCAGTGCGTGGAGGGAGGAGGCTGGAGCGATAGGAGATTGAGCGCTTATTGGTAGGGCGGAGAATAAAGAGCCGTGAGGGTTCGCCTTCTGCCTTATATGTAAAGCGTTCCACAGCACAGGCCGGAGACTTCAGCGAAAAAACATCGCTGGTGTTCGTTGATAAAGGTGGCCACGACTCCGCACTGGCCGAACGAGTTTCATTCACACCAATTCTAGATGGTATAATTTTCAAACATTAGGAGTGGAATAAGTAGAAACAGACCACTAACCCCCTAAAATAATTGAGCGTAGCTAAGTGACTCTAGACATGCCTCGTCCTCAAAAAAGGATAAAGGTATCTACTCATCTCCGCAAACTAATGAGTAAAGGACTAATTGCTAGTCAAACTGTGACACTAATTCAGGGGTCACCAACAAAGTGGACAATCTAAGTGATCACAAACCACATCAGTACCAGGGACTACATTGAACTGAATTTGTGATGATGGTTTGAGATTTATCATTTTTTGGAAACTACTTTGAAGACGACTACTACCCAGTGTGGATTGAACCTACAACTCTGGAATCACTTTACATTAAGCTGATTAGCGAAACAGAAGCTCAGAACACAAACTAAAGTTGAAAGCACTAGTAATGACTGTCTTTGACCAAGAAGAGATCTGATACACGGTCAGCTAACACGAACGAGGAAGTCATTTCAAGTCCACTAAAGAAAATAACCACCCTAACGTTAGTAGCGTGATAAATATTTCATAGGCACATAAGATAAGGATTTGGTAACGTTCTCAGAAGAGTAAGCATAGCTTATAGAATAGAAGAATAGAATAGAATAGCTTATAGAATAGAGTCTGCTTGTTACTCGAATTTAAGGTACGCAAAGGGGCCCTTATAACGAAATGTCGTAGACTTGGACATGCTTTGAGATATCATGAGGACCAATGACGTCGAAATCATACCAGATTTAAGTAAAGATAGTAGAAGTATTTGGGACTGAACTTATACGTCTAGTTGCGACTGCCGAGCAACAAAGATCTCGACGGCATAAGGTAGACGCACTTTATGAATGTCAAACACGGTAGAAAAAGTAGCTAACATAGGTGTTTCAAAAGAACAGGCAGCATTAGCCACTTCCAAATTATATGAGTACCGCATATTTACCAAAAAATGTGCACACTATTGACGCCAGAGGCGCAATGAAGATAAATTCACAGGAACTACGAAAATTGTAACAGTCCCATCTTGTACATCCTATACACAAAGTATGTTAAGGTGTTAAAAAGAATATATTCAGCGGAATGACAAATAAAGATCGGCATAACGGCGAGGGCAGATTTCTCAACGGCAAGAGCACGCGAGCATACAACCGAGGTAGAACCCAAATCCCCCAAATTAATGGAAACTAAGTTCTGTCAAGGACAAGGGATATCAACGAAACAAGACCTTAGGAGGATGACCTCACGGACTACAAAAGCTATGCATAAAATCTCCCAATAATTTCACTACGCCTAAATATTTACCTTTCGTTTTCAGCGAGTAGTACACCACGGAACACCCTCCCTTCACTCGAAAAATTAACTGCAATAAGATTTGAAGTTGAATAATCTATAACTACGGTTATTGACTGGCCGGTAGTAAAGCCACTTCGACCAGCGTTACTCGACGCCATGTTGGGCGGCAGTACTTAAGCTAGGCACGACAAAATTGGACTATTATAACAATCAATTGTAATAAGTAAATAAAAAGTGAAACAAAGTTTCATTAAAAAATACCTAATAACAATAAAGGAAAAAACATTTTTTATCTGTTTACCGCATTTACTATGGTAAAAATGTCCAAAAATGACATAAAAAGATCAAATACAAATGCAGGCTCTAAGTGAAGGGAAACTAATTAGAAATTACAATGCTCGAAGATTTTGTTGCTGCAAAGAAAACTATTGTTGCACATTCTTTCCATCACGTAATATCTGTAATTTATATATTTATTGATGCTTCGATTTTTTCGCCGATGCAGCTTTTGTGCGTAAGCTTGTTATGCCTACTATTGCTGTTCGATCAAGTGCGCCTTACATTTTCGGCGGAAAATAAGCCATACAATTTGTTCTGCAACTTTCTAGCTGCCAAAACTCATCCAAATTTTGCCAAGATCTTCTGATAGGCCATTACAAAAAGTAACATTATAAATGCCTTTGAGTTTTTTTAAAAAATCCTATTGAGTGCTTAGAACGACGCAAGGAATACGTTATCCATTCTCTTCGCATTTGAGCACAAATCAATTTTTGTGAGCATTCATATCTTTTCCTTCCTTCAAAGCGTGTTTTACACAACATTTAGCATTGCGTACCCAGACGGCATCATTTTGATGTAGTAGCTGTCAAAACATCCTTGTAAGGCGGGTGAATTTAATCATATGACAAGATAATCAACTGAAAGTTCTGTACACCACAGATGGCTCTGTCAAATTTAATTTGTTCTTTTATATTTATTGGCACCTGTTCACTCACGTCTTTAGCTGCAACCAGTGGCATATTTCCTCCACTTTGATAGACACCAGCTTAGCTTTCAAATCAGTAGCACCACTATTTCTTGATGTAAAAGTTAAACAATTTAAATTTATTTGTGTTCGTTAGAGGAGTAGCTAAGTTAGGTTCCACAAAAATTCAAGCTCTTAGTCAATAAAAAAAAACTATTAGCTTTATAGGAGTGTAAGTTCTGTCTATTTACTAATGTATCACGCAATTCGTCGACAAAAATTTGACAGTAACTTATGCTTTATAAAATGAATGCTACCCAATTTTTTTCCACAAACCTCTGACAAGTGATTTTTATGCGACCTAAATTTGCTGAGCTACCACAAAAGTGCAACCAGGGCACTCCCTTTAGGCAAGTTTAATTAGAAATTCCCCAAGTCATTACCTCCTTCGGATTAACGCTAATCCCCCTCCTCTCGCATCCTCATTAGAGAAGTTGCCACTTGGCTCTAAACACTGGCTGCCACGACCACACCGCCGTGGCTTGTTGATTGAAGGCTGAGAGGGCTAGTGTGACGCATGCACACAGGCCCACGTTTATAACACCAGGTGAATTTAAGCCCGGCAGCAAAAGGCACACACACTCACTAACACATACACAGACCCTCTGGCAAAAATGGCGGAATACAAAACCATCTTCTTTGCCATTGACAAGGAGAGAAACCGTGAGTCCACAGTGCCACATTTTGCTTTTTGCTAACTGGGTGTTGGCGATTCTAAATGCATGGAGGCTCTTATGTTCCCTTTCTTCCTCCCCATTATTTAATGATAAACTAGGAAGCAAAACATCAAGGAATTTCGTCCTCCCCAACGACTGACAATTATGAGGCCGTCTCGATTTATGCCTGTAATAAAATGGTGTGATGCGTTGATTGCACTGACACCTAATTATCAAGGGGAAATCAAAGTTGTCACGTGTCCTTACGATGAACCCATGCACGCCACACTTGTAATGAGCCTTTGTGCTCTCGTCTTGTTGTTATTTTGTGCAGGATATCCAACCTGTAGGCGGACTTCTCTTTTAAGGGTACATCACAATCGAGGATTTGGAGCGGTATATAAAGGAAAATCGAATGAGTCCAACCGTCTTACAGGTAGGTTAATGCAAGAAAGAGGAACTCTTGCCTCCCGAACTCTTACAAGGTGTCTCTCTCTCACTTCCATTCCCTTTAAACACCTAGAGATGGATTAGATTGTTTGATCCTCAAGGCACGGGTCGAATTACCCTCGAAAATTTTTGTGAAATACTACACGAAGATATGGATGATATGTAAGTTTGTTAACTAGAAAATTTGTTTTAATTTATCATACCACATTCATGAATACCCTCAAAGCACAGTATTATCGGTAAAATGAGAGGAAGAAAACCGGCTATTTGTTTGTAAACTCGCTTTAGCCCAAGCTAATTGCAAGCTCCTCTCTATTTTATTACCTAAGTCCAGTTTTAGTTTCATAAATTATGCAATTGCAGCGCGTATTTTAATACCTTGTAAAAATAAGCCACCCTTGTAAATCGCAGGCTGCGTCAATATCCGACCACGAGTGTTCAGCAAATCCAAATAATTGACCGAGAAATGTCGGAAGTGATGATGAAGGGAATTTTAAGTGTCACCCGACATGCCGTACAAAGTAATCCAGGCAATCTTCAGGTGAGTCTGTCGTCTACCCAAGGGGCAGCTGACACACCCACTTAGAATACCCGCCTATTTCTCCTCATTTTTTCCACCGCAAAAACAACTGAACTACGCTAGAAGCTCAAGACACATTGCTTTTGCGCAAAAAAGAGGTTATCGCGCCACTCACATGTCCAGACAACAATTTATCATGCGGTATTGTGTATAGCTTACAAACCCAAGCCCCACTTGTAAAGGCAGCGATTTTTTCCCAAAGCTGTGTATTCCCACCACTCCGTTACCTATTGATAGGCACAGGCAGCCGAGATCAAAACGTATGCAGACGAACGGTACGGTGATACATGGCACTGTTTCATTATGAATGGCTCCCACGGCTACTTCTACTCACACAAGCCGAACCATTCAATCTCATTCTACTTTGGAGGCAACTATTACTTCATTTTCTGCACACCGCTTGCGTAATTTTTACCCTGCGGTCTACTGAAATCGCCAGAGTTCAAATTTGGGTCTTGACAGCAATTTTTCGCACGACACCTTGTAAAGAATTCCAACCTGAGTTATAAGATCGACACGTAATATACTATTTGTTAGGTGACTGGTTGTCTTCTGATTTTTCAACCGATTTTAAGGTTTAAGGAAGATAAGTAAACCCAAGTTGCGAAAATGTCCTAAGTGTTTACTTATGGCATCGTGGCTTCAGCCAATGACCGCAGCACACCTGGTAGCTTTTCATTCGCGCAGAAAAAATTGCAAAAAACGACTAGGGAAATAGGTTAGTCATTCTGTTAATTTAAATTTAAACGATCCGCCAAAATGTGCCTCTGTAAAATAGATCTTGTCTTTAAAATCAGTTTGTCGGGTGGTAAAAATTTGGCCTTTCTTGCAACAAATCCACTCCATTATGGACATGGAATTGTAGTCTCTTTCAAGGGGACAGGTGTGAATAGTTACTCTATATTAAATTAAAAACAGTATTTTCAACACTAATCTAACCTAGACAATCCACTGCCTGTATTGATACTTCCACATTTGCACAAAAACGCAGATCCATACAGATTGTGATGGTCTATATGGAAAAAATGTTAAACTATTTGCTTGATTTAGTGAAATAAATGTTTTAACGGAGCAGTAATCCGAACCATGCAAAAGACTTGGTCGATTTAAGCCATTAGTGAAGAGAAAAATGACTATAGGATTTCGTTTAAAAAAATGATGGCGAATATTTGAGGAGATAAATCTCCATCAATGTTCAATATAACGACCAAAATACGTGTTTTGTTATTGCTTGTCTAATTATGTTTTAATCTACTAATAAATGCCCAGTATATTTATCCCCTATTCTGCATTATTTTTTGATATTTGCGGTTGACAATGTTTGGCCAAATACGTAGCCCTTTTTTTCGCCATGCGAAAGGAAGATAGAAGATGACGTTACTTTAAATACAATTCACGAAGAAATTTCCACTCACGGTTCCTGATAAATCAAGATTATTCCCATCTATTTAGCGGTATCAGAGGGCATTAAACCTCCAAATGAGGTAATATTTTAGGTAAATAACGAGACGATGAAGCCACTAAGATTCACATTAAGTTTTGCACAACGTTTACATTAGGCGTAACGCAGATGCAGCTGTCTATCTAGCGCGCCTATGAGGGAGGTATTGTTCGTGCGGCTCGCCGCCTTCATAGTCGTCTGGCTCATCGAGAGAAAAGAGTGTGACATCCCCAGGACTGACAATTTGGGGGTCGGAGAACTCCGCGACCAAGAGGAGCGTGCATGCCTTGCCATAGTAATTAGGTTTACAGATGCAATGCTCCTCGTCCACTGCTTTGCCTTGCTCATCCCAACCCGTACGACGAATGCATTGACCGTGCGAACAGGTTGGTGTTCCACTCGGACATTCTGTGACCAGAACATGACTATGGCAAAGAAAAAATATATCAGATTACTGGTTATAATGCATAAATATATAAACCCTGTGGTTGTAGACTGAGCAGACAGAGGATTTCGGTGGTACACTTTACCTGTCAGTGAGGAGGAGACAAGCTGTACAAACGGTGATCACTCTCCACCAGGACGATATAATGCCCATTACGATGAGGCTACAAAGGCAGTGGGAAAATTCCCCGGCTTTATATGTCTCCAGTAGGGCATACCCACGCACTGGACAATTAGATGACTGTACGATCATTACGGAGGAGCAATGCTGACTTGCGTCACCGGCATTGTCCTGACCAAGTTGGCAGCGTGGGCGTCTGCACTGTATGTGTGCATATCCGTCCAATGGCCTTTAAACTCGTCGCCCATTCCACACGCAATACCCCAATATCACGTTAGACGGTCTCGTCTATCAACTGAATTTCTACCATTGACATCAATGGCTAGGTCAAAATATTTTTCGCGGTATGACAAGAAAAATGCTTGACAAGGAAGGCGTGTTAGGTGTTTTCATGCGAAAAGTCGTTGGCATCAGACAAACAATAAGGGTGTCTCTTTTCAGGACCCCCAGAAAAGTGTGCGAGATTTTCTGTATCGAGTGGAGCAGGAGCGGCACATCCGCGACCAGTGCAAAGGCTTAAGTAACCTAGTCGACACTGTCACACCCAGTTCTGAGCCTGATTCAACGCATCACTTGAATACAGTGATGTGGCAACTTAGGACAACTTCAAAAGACCTCTCTTGGTGTACTCTCTTTAAATCAAGGTGAAGCATAACCAGGCGAATCAATTGTGTGCTGATGCTGCCACGGTAACAGCAACCTGACGTCGTCGCCGTGTCAGCTGCCATAAAATCATCTGGCCTCATTCTCCACGTGACGATGAAGAAGTTGGATTATGATGTATGGTGCGCTCAGAGAGGTGGTTTCTGCAGAAACCGCCTCCGTAGTCACCCCCGTCAACAACGTGGACATTAGCGGGGTTGGCGTTTGTGATGCGTTGACTTAGTGTGTCTGTATGTGATGCTCGGCCAACCGCATGATCCTGTAGTACGCGCTTACGTGCGTGTGTGCTTGCTAGCACAAGGTACATAAGGATCTGTGGTGCTACCACTACCTCAGATACACCAATGCTCATGTTCGCCTCCACCAATTCACTGCTTTTTGCAGTCTTCTTCTCAGCATCTCTCTTCCTGGTCGACAGGTAAGGTACTCCCTCTCTGTAGTGCCTTTTTTTCTTCTACACAGCCTATGCTTTTCGCTTTCTGTCTTCCCACTTTCCTGTCGGTTGTTTTCTTCACAACTGTCTACTTTTTTGCCGATTTGGATTTGAGTAGTATAACCGACCGCAAGAAAACTTTGCGTTAATGTTAAACTGAGTTTGTATATTCACTCCGTCCTCTCTTTTCCCCACAACAGCCGTATTACTGTCACCGAGTGTGCGAATGGAACCCCCACCTGTTCGCACGGTCGATGCGTGCAGCGCATGGGCTGGGACGAGGAGGGTCATCCGGTGGACGAGCAGCGATGCATCTGCGATCCAAACTACTACGGTGAGGCATGCGCTCTCCTCGTAGTTTCAGATTTCGCCAATCCGCTAATCATCAGCCCTGGCCCCATGAACATGTTTGCTCTGCCAGAGCCCAGAGGTCGTACCAATACTGATCCTGTCAATGAGAAACACGCCTATGGCGGTGCCGTCTAGACTGACATTCATTTACATTCCTCCCGATGTACTATTTAAGATTTAAAAGATCCTGTATTTCACTTACTTCTGCTTTTGTTGAACAAATGAGAGGGGGTATTTGATAAGCTGACATGAAGTAAGCAGTTTCCACAATCCAAATACGATCAAGTCATGTAAAACCATCCACAAAGTGTTGCAATAATTGTGTGTTTTATTTAACCGTCCATTCACTAGCGTGGAGGCTTTAGTCTCTTCAGGCTTTCGGTCATGAGAATTGCGCCTTCCAGCTTCTCAGCATGTAAGTAAGTGGGATGTTCTCTCATTCCTGCAGCATGTGGCAATAACTACACCCTACTGCATTTCAAAAATAGAAAACAAATGCAGTTTAGTGAGCCGATTTTAAACTCCACCTCTGAACTCATCGGTACTGTTAGCCTTATTATTTTGATTTCCGAAGCAATTAGGACGCCACATCCATTGTAAAAGGGCCTACGTGCTGCCATACATTAACAATAAAACACTCAAATTTGCTCTTTTTCGAGGGGTGGCGCATACTCTTTAAAATTTCTTCCACCCATCCGTTATACCTGAACATGTACATGATCGTAGTGAAGGAAAGGAAGTGAACAAACAATTGCCGATCCGGAAGTCGTCTAACTCTACCACACACATATATATATACACAAGTAAAGGCAATAATTCACCCCCATCATAGCTGAACATTTGTTTATCAAGGGATAGAAAAGAGTGTAGATTATTTTCTTAAACCTTCCTTTTTTGGAAAAAATTGTGCCTGCAGAATATGCATCACATACTATTTTATGGTTTTTTCTTCTGAAGCAGCGGAAGAGTAAAAAATGAATAAATAAGAGATATCGGGTACTTGTGAATCAACAAATGGGTTCCATTTGTTTTAGGTAATTTGCATTGTAATGCGCCTTTTTAAATGGACTGTTCAATTGAAAAGTACTCTGTATGCAACAATCCTCCGAACGAGACAGCATCAACACTTTCCCCTTGATTAAAGAGATGATTGCGCCTTCCCCACGTAAGATTTTTAACATTTATAAGGCCCCTTCCATTATCTTCGTACTACACGATACAATGTACCTTTCTCTAAAGTAGATTCTTTAATCAGGAGTCTGGAACCTCCGCAGGAAGAAGAGAAGTATGACGGGAATTTTAAAAGTTCGTCGCCTTTGTGATAATTGGGTGATAGTCAGTTCGCACAATGTAATGGCCAAAGTTTATTGTAAAATTTGTTTTTTTGGAAAGAAAATTTGCAAGGCTTGTTATTTAAAACATTTCTTCTATTCATGCACAATTCTGTAAATAAGGTTTGTAATTTAACAAATTTTTGTAAAATCAGTTTTTACTCTAACAAAAAAAATTAAGCTTGTTAGTTTTTATTTAAGACCTTTCTAATAATTTAGGTTTAATTTCTTGTTTATATTAACCTAAAAACGTTGACATTGGATACCTGTTGCATCGCTTTGCACACAAATATTTGCTTATTAGATATCAGTAGAAGGTATGCGGCTGCCATAAAAACCTAGCAAACCGGTATACCCGAGAGAAGAGTGCTTAAATGTTGCATCACCTTTGAAATAAATTTGCATAATTACATCGGAAAAGACGCAGCCTTACCATTTTGGCGACGAAAAAAGCAAGTCTACATGGTTGGCCGGTCGTACCAGCCATCTGCGAACCCTAACTTGAACTTGTGCCCTGAAATAAGGCCACTCAGGTCAGGTCTACAGCCCTACCGCCCACTTCGAGCGTTGTTTACAATCATTGGTGATTTAAAAGCTTCAATGCCTCAATTCACTCAACACGCTACATGCGAGCTCACTCACTCTCTCGTTTGCATAGTAGCTGGGTCGGTCAATCGGTCCGTTTATCATTGATCTGTCATTATTTGACACTTTAAATCAAAAGAGAGGAACTTGACCGCATTGTTGAGTTGACATCATTATCATACTTCACCCTACCATACGCATCCATTCATTCATTCATTCAGATAGCCAACCGTTCACAACTCCATGCATCAATCAGGATGCACATATACATGATCGGCTTCCTCTGGTGGTTGGCTAGCTAAACGTGTGAAGATTTTCTTGTGGTGATGATGATGATTGTGTAGACGGGTGGTCAACAAAGACAAGACGATTGCCAATATTTCACACCACATTTGAACAAGGAGTGAAATTCCTTATTTCCTTCTTGGTGGTGGCTCTAGGCAACTTGGTGTGAAATGTGACATCACGAAGTCAGGTCCCAAGAAATAAAAGGTAAAATATAGAGGACTAACTTTCTCAGAAGAAATGAAACTCTGCAGCTAAAATTCCATTGGTCTTGATTAAGCATAATTCTTGTAATTTCAAACTACAATCTGCCAGCCCAGGCCCACCTGTCTATTCACCTTGGCTATGTCAATCTACACTAGCAGCTGGTGACCCAGACACTGAGGAACAAACAACGCTGGGAGGTGGATTCAATCAGGTTACCAAGTGAAAAAACTATCTCACTGCAATCCGGGGGTGCAAGGCGTTGCAGCACAGAAGATTTGAATGCTGAACTGAAGTGATAGGGTGCTGGGTCAAGGTTAGCATTATTATCTGTATCAGCGTCTTGGTTTCTAAAACTGCATTTTGGAGATCTGCTTGTCACTATCAATGATGAAGTGGAACAGTCTCGCATGGAATATTTCAACCGGAATGAATGCCGTAGGGAGCTATAACAAACTGACCAAAACTTATGGAAACCTTAATTTCTGATTAGGAATAAAAACCTCCCCTATTTTAAGGAATTTTCCGTGTAAGTGGAAAGAAATCGTTTGTAAACGTTAAATTTCAATCTCTTCTTCACCTTTTAGTTAAGAGGCGGTCAAGCATCGGACAAACTTACCGGTAAAGCGATCTACAGAAGGGAAAATATACCGTGTGCAGTGGATAGCCTTGTTTTCAGAAAAGCGTTTCTAGTCAAACTGATGGATGCACCCGCTTTGCAGATATTTTCCAAGCATTCTGGAAACCGCACCTTTGTCCCATTCTGATTGGCTCGGGCTCAAGGTCAACTATTGTTATAAGCATACATGATTAAAGCGACTGAGCAAAGCAGTGTCATGCCAGTCCTCCAGCACTCTCCACTGCTCCACCGTACGTGCATGTCATATTCCTGTATTGACAAACCCACACAAGTCAAGATAGATATCAATCCTGGAGCCAGTTTATTACTCATCTACACAACTCAGGCTAAATAAACCCAAATCATAAAAGCGGGTGCCCAAATTGCAACAAGGCAGAAATAAGGAAAAGGAGAAGTTGTATTGCTCGCCGTGAGTGCGAGATGTGCATCCTGCCAGATTGTAACATCGACGGATGCTAGACCGTGGTTGAAGGTTGAGGTGCCTGATGCGAAATGCAAGATGTCTGGAGCTGTAGATTGGGCAGGGTCATCTTCACCACTTTTGTTACTTCTGTGTGGCTATGAGAGGGGGAGACGTGGTGATACAATGCTGCGCAATTCAAGCCACAGACAAGGAGCCTGACATCGAAGGTATCCCTCTGTCTCTCTTGCATTAATTTACCTCCATGTTGGCGCTCTACTCGCTGAACTTTCACAGTGTGGAACTGCTGTTATTCCATAGGCTGAGAGGGAGCCTGCAATTGCCAACATTAGTCAATCAGATAATCGGATGGTGTATTGCTATTCTCTTTCATAAATGGACACCAAGACAGCTTAAGGCCTCTCACCATACCACGCAATGGAACTGTGAAATCTTTTCTTGACACTGGGATGCGATAAATAGCTTTATGAAAGATTTTTTCTCCACAAGTAAACAACCCGGCTCTTGCCCCAGTCAGCTCACTTCTATTTCATACTCACATTCTCTCCTAACTATCCATTCTTGTGTGCATATCCATTTGGCATGACACTTGATAACGTTAGTGTGAATGGAAAAGGAGCAGCTCGACAAATAAGGAGGATGAGGTGAGGCACCAACTCCCATCATTTCACATGTCATTCATTATTATCTCAACGTGAAAATTTTTGTGCTTTTACTTTTTCTACTCCACTCTTTCTTCTGGATTACTTTTATCACCATTACCACCATCTTGAGAAGGGACCCGACCAGTCGCTTTGCCAGAGGCAAGAAGGTATTAATCCCATTGCAACTATTATTGTTGTTATTAATCTTTCACAAACAGGCAACCCAAGATCTCTAACAGTTCACAATACCACGCACACACACAAAGCAAGCACAATTTTGTGGAATAAAGAGGTGGGTGCCTAAATAGTGTGATGTAGGTGGTGAGTGGATTAGTTAAGGCGAACCTCTGACACGTATGTCTGTGCATACCTCTGACTGTCAAAACTAGTAACGCACACTCTGAAAGCAGTTGTCGTCAGTGCCATGGTGATTCATCACTAGAATCAAATTCTTGACAGCTTCTTCGCCTACGCTCTGCTGTCATAGTACACATTCCGTAAGTTCTATACAGACAAATCATATGACAAGCCGCTGTTTTGTCTTTATAACCGATTTCAACTTGAACCAAGAAGCAGGCAAGCTTACATCACAGGGATTCAACATGTTCAACCGACGCGGAATGGCAGTAGACTTGAAGGGAACAGGAAGGTAGTCAGCACAGGTCCTTTGAACGCCATAGGTGATTCATCTAACTCAAATCGTGCCTCAATGCTCAAGTTCCCTGTTTGCCGACACTGTAGGCTTGTTTCCTCTTATCTTTAGCAAGATTTGAACAGATACGCAAGATAAAACTGGCTTTGCATTGGAGCATGTGGTACAGGTGAAACACGTTGGCAACATTCACTCGCCTCCTGCATTACGTTTCAGCTTCCATTCTTTCATAACATCATAAGCCAGTGCGTTTACAAAGGCCAGTAATGTTTTCTACTGAATGACCAAAACTTTCGACGAGATGAGACAGACATTTCGATTTAAGGCAAAAGAGAAAGAACAGAGCAACTCGCAATTATTGCTGAAACAAGAA